TTATTACAAATTAAACATATTACAATAACACTTAATTTGGTAACAACAAGCTATTTCCTCTTTTTCATTAGTTTCACTCTCTCTTTTCATCTCTTTCAGCACTATTATCACATGATCTTTTTGCCCTAAATTACATAAGCAGGACTTTCCCTCAAACACTGTAAACTGTGAAAAGCATCATGGTTAACTTTCTGCTTCACTGGTCACGAGAGCCACTGCCTTTTGTCTCCTTCTATGAAATGGAACAGAGTAAAGGAACATGCAAATTTAATTTGATAGAGATGCATTTTAACATTTCATCGGTTTGCTGCTTTTAAACAATTCTTCACAATTTCTTCAAGATGAATTTTCTTTTAGATTAAATACTCGTTTTATTAGCGCATCAAGTTATCAATTAAATTCAGGTTGACAGTAAACCTACAAAAGTGAATGAATCAATGGAACAAATCCACTGCGTGAATGATACTAACAGGTACTTCTACCTCTGCGACGTGATGTTTGGATTTTGGGGTTTCAAAGGGGGAAGTACGTACTGTCACTGTACTTTCTTGGCCTCACACAGTTGTGAGCCGAGCTGCAGTGGAACTATTTTAGAGCACCTTTAAATAATCTCCATCCCAGAAGCACCTGCTGCCTGGTTAGTGTGCGGCTTCTTGTGTAATAGACGCGACTTACAGGGTCGGTCTAACGATAGTTGGAAACAAGGTTCAAAACCCCAAAGATCCTGTTCCTCAATCAACAACGGAGTCAGATGTCATCAACCACATACAATACAAAAAAATGACAACAAAAATGACTCACAAATTGCACAAAAAATAGCTCGGGTGTATTGTTGTGGTTTGATGCTGTTGTTGTTGTTGCTGTTTAGTATTTTACCCCCCAAATTGATCTGTCTCACATTATAAAAATCTTATTTCATTATATATTCAGCATGCATCCATAAAATGAGTAAAACGTCTGTTGAGTGTTAGGGATTTAAGCCAGAAGTGAAGCAGAAAACCTATCTCTCAGATACCTTTCTGTTACCTCACAAGTGTCACCTTTCTGGCCACATCCCGTCACCATTTGTGCTTTGCATGCTCACATGCACACACGCACACGGTGAGCACTGAGCTGTGAGCTGCATGTCAATACCGCTCTCATGCTCCCTTGGCTTTTGCTCCCCCAGGGACTATCACCCCACCCTGGCCTTCCCCTCCAGTCTGACACCCATCACCCTTTTTCTTTTTCTACTAAGTTTTGTTTTTGTTGAATATGAAACAGAAGTACAACATGTATGGATTCTAAGTTACAAACTACCTATGACTATTTCTGTGCCAATTCCCCGCATTTCCAAGGTACTCAAAAAAAAGAATCAAAATGACAATCTCAAACAAACAAAACTGCGTGGATTCCCTCCCATTCATATTAAACTGCTATGGACCAAAGTTTACGAGTTGTCTAAATCTCACTGGCTGTTCCTCTTTTGAGTTGGAGAAGTTGTGTGCGGGAACATCTTCCCTGGCTCCTTCCTGTGTTTCCTGTCCAGAGACTGATCAGGCGGTCAGGGATCACTCTTGTCAAAGGGTGGAGCGACCAGAAAAGAGACTGATGCAATTCTCAGCTGTCTCTTCAGCCGCTGGTTGACATATATAACGTAGCCAGTCTCCTTCTTTATGATGGCTTTGAATTGAGTTTTCCCTACAATTCTACTTCATCGGTACATGATCTGACCTATATTCATTTAAAACTTGGCGGGCTGGAGTCAGAGCTCCCTGACATATGAGTCATACATGAGTGACTCAAATTTAAACCTTAGAAAAACAGCTACACAGGCAGCCGTGGTACTTTTATTTTATTGTATTTCTGAGGTCCTGAGTGTTTCAGATAAAACGTATTCACACTATACAGGCATCTTAATGCTGATATCCGAACATTTTCGTATTTGATAGTCCGATAACGTTTTACAATAAACCGCTTTCTCATAAATCCACATACTTCCTTGTCTTCATTTTCATATGTGAACTCTTCCCTGTGACATCATACTATTTCCGCTTTTTGCCCATTTTGCCATCTCTCTTGTTGTCTTCGAAATAGATGAAGAAATAAAACGATTTGGAGCTTTAGTACGTTCGTCATTCTGAGGCACTGTCAAGACTTTGGACCAAATGAGCAGTTAAATAAACCTCGATCAGTGCGTGGCTTCAGGGACCTTTGACGTGAACTGATACTGCTTAGAGGATATGATCCCTGATAATCTAGGCTACCAGGGCCTGCGTGTGTGTGTGTGTGTGTGTGTGCGTACACAACGTGTGTGGTTAGGTGGCTTTCTCCCTGCGTCCCAGGATGTGGGCTCCCTGTCCACCTGTGTCTCCACTCGCAGCGTCCTCAAGGCTCTTCCAGTTCCTCTCTGGGTGGCTATTCTCATCTCAGCCACACTGATTCTAAACCAGCATTGTCCCCAGAGACACCAACAACGCAATCAACACTGCAACTTGCATAACACAACCTGCTCATGGTATTTCATAACTTCCTGCCACAGCGTTCTTTGCATATGTTTTGTCTCACCTGGTATATCATCAATGAGCCTTATAATTACACGAGTTAAAGATAAACAAATCGCCTCTTAAGTTTACAAGACCCCAGGTAACAATGGGTTGACTTGCTATTGTTCATCTGATAAATTGGAAAACAACAACTTAAAGGTCAGTGCTGAGCCTGCAGTCAAAAAAGGACATTTCTTGAAATAACTGAGGAGTCAGCAATAGAGCCAAATCAGGAAACAACACAAATAGTAATTCCTTTAATCTAACAGGAAAACTCGTTTTTGATTTCCTTGAAGTGCTGCTTTTCACAAAACTTGCATCGCTTCCTATTAGCAACTACTGCACAACACAGTGTAATGAAACGCCGTGGAGCAGATGCCCATGGCGACGCACGGTGAGAACATCAGTTCTGTTTGTCACTTGTCTCTAATGATTTATTGTGGGAAGCCTCAGACACCACAAAGAGATGTTGCAATACAAAGAGAACCACATTGCAGACAACACTGCAAATGTGACAGAAAAGAGATTCTGTTGGCAGAAATGCACGCAACCATGTGCTTCCTTCTCTTCCTACGCTGCTCCGGGTAGAGATGGGGAGGATAAAATGATATTGCTATTAAATAAAAGTGTCAATGTCACAATACAATTATTGTGTTAGTCAACATAATTATAACTAAAGTCATTATTAAAAAAGCAGCCTTTTCTTGGAAATGGTTTCTCCTCCTTTACAGTTTGATTTTCCGTCTCCTCTCAGACACAAACACAGTTGCACTCTGTGTTGAATAAATCAGAATATAGTAAATCGTGTTGTCCACTGTGCCTGTTACAGTATGTATCTACAATATCCATCAACCTCTGGTTTTGCTGGTTTACTGAAACTAGAATCTGGGAATTAATGTTGTGGACTAGGATATATAGCTAAAATATAATATATAGAAATATATTGAATATATATATATATATATATATATATATATATATATTTAAAGGAACACCAGGATCTGATGACCAAAAGTAACAACATTTGCCATCACCTTTAAAGTTCAATACAATGTTGTAACGTTCTGCTGTAATCTGCACAAAGGTATGGAAACACACTTTGTATATTTTGTTTTCTATGGATAAAACATGGCTATTTGTTTCCAGTTTTTTTACATTGATTCATTGACTGTAATTACAGGTTTTCATCTAAAATACTAATATCCCAGATTACACTATCTGTGTTTCCTAAATACTTTATTGCGACCCAGTCTCAGACGTGCTATTTGGGGGGGTTGGAGGGCTGGGCTCTAGTTTCCTGTGACAGTTTTTGAAGTAAGTTCCTGTTCTGTAGAACTGACAGAAGTCCCCTGTAGATAACCACACACACACAAGCACACACATACCCACCTGTGTTTTTCCTTCACTGAACCCTTGATGAGATATTCTAATTTAAGTGTTACATGTCATGTGTTGTCCCACAGATGAAAAGCACATGACTTTCACGTATTCAGGCACTTTCCAGTGGAAACCTTTTGTTTTTTATTTCACCAACAGACAATGGCGATGTACAGTGTGTAAAGTAGACGTGGCATCGTTCATAGTGACCATTGGAAAACCCAGTTCTGCAACTGAAATTACTTCTTTGCTGTTGCATCTATTTTGTGTGAGTGTTTGAGTGTCAATAATGCTTAATCTTAAATGTGTGCAAACTTCTGCCAATGTTTCCACTATATACTTGGTCTGAAATGTGGGACGACACTGTCCTCTGTCCTTTAATGACCTAGTGTGTGAGACACATGAGGAGAAGGAGAATATTAATAAAAGAAGAAGGGATTGTTGTCTCATAGTGAATCATTCTAGTTGGTCATCTCTCTTGGTGTCCTTTCTCTGTGACTCACCAGGGACACAAAGGAGGGGGGAGAGTTTATTGGCCTTAGATCCTCCTTTAAGTTTCATTTAGTGTTTAGTTGTATCTTTCCCAAACAGGAGTGTTAAACAATAGCGAATGTAGTGGAGAAGTTTCCTCTAGACTGAAAAGTACTGTTGCTGTTGTCGAAAGAAAATAACTGAACAAAAACTTTTATAATAACTGAACAAAAACGTTTAAACGTTTACGTGCAGACATTTTTTAATACAATGTTTAAATTCGATCTTCAGTAATTACTCATTGTCCTATAAAATATGAAATTAATGTCATACTGTTACATCTCATTATAGATGGAGATTAAATTTGCTTTAAAGCATTAGTGTAGCTTGAAATGTTTCATCTATGGAGCGTTAGATAAAGTCAGTCAAGCATCGACACAAGCAGAAATACTTGTTTTTCAATTTTGCAATTTTCATGCACCAATGATTTATATTCACTTCACTTGGGTTTCCAGTTGCAGAGACATATTAGCATAAGTAACCAACCGCAAACATCATGCTTGTTATCGTTGGTGTGAAAGTTATCTTATCCGTGTCGGTTATGCAGTTTAAGCATAAGTGCAGAGCCAAGTTCCACATGTTGATTTAATTTATTTTTACAGATCAATGAAATGGTTGAAATGACTACCTGGTTATGTTATATGTGGTTATTGAGCTTTGATCCTATGTCTATCATGGTAAACATTTAGCATTGGTAAAAAAACAAACAGAAAATAACATTATTTACAGACGAGCCCGTGCAGTTTAGTACAAACTTAGTTTTACTAGAAATGCAGATCATACAAAATATTGATAGTAAAACCTATCTGTAATGCAAAAAAACATTGCATTGAAAAGTCCAAAAGATTTTATCAAGTCATACAAATATTTCAAAAGAATCGAAAAATTTCTGAAAGAATATCCATCTCCATCATTTAACACCAATCTGTTCTTGAGTTGTGTGTACCATATAAAAATATATCACATTTTCTCGTGAGCTGGATGATAACATGATTACTATTTCTTATGATAAAAAAGAAGAAGTTAGACGCAGCGTGTATTAGCACTGTATATACAAAAACAGATAAACAAATAATAGAGAAATCCTACATTTCGAGCTTTACTACTCCTTACGCATGTCTACAATGTGATTGGTATGAACCTAAAGAGTCAAAACTAACCGGAATACCTAAATTCCCTTCAGAGTACGCTAGGAAAACAAATGTCTATAAAAGGTGTGTTCCAAGCACGTTGCTGCTCACAGTTCAGGCAGTGATGGGCACGTTGTCCCTGTAGCAGGCGGACTTCTGGGGGCCGCTGTAGCTGCACAGGTCCTGGTAGATGCGAGCCATCTGGTCACTGGCCGCGGAATCAGACATGTCCAGGTGTGAGTTGTTGCAGTAGGGCTGCGGTCGACGCACGTTCACTGCCTCCAGCAGGTGCTGGCAGTTGACCATTGTGATCTGCCAATGGGAGAGGAGACAACAAACAGCATTTACAGCGATTCATCTTTCACTGTCTTGGGAAGGTGTCAGGAATCTGAATTTTGACTGGCACATTATGACTGGACTGGTCTCACCTGCACAATGATCAGTTTGCTCTTGGCGTTGCTCAGATCATGCAGCTCCTCACCAAAACACAGAGTCACTGCCGGGTCGGGAGCAGGAAACTGCCCCTCCTGGTACAGCTGCAGAGCTGGAACACACAAAGTACATGAACAGCTGTCAGAACAATCTTTGTAATTATTATGATTTTTATTGCCGTGAGCATTGATGAGAAATGTATGTGTTTTGAGCTTTTAAAATGACTAAACATGGAGGCTCACCTTGAAGAAACTTTTCAGTGTCAAAAATCTTGACGACAGCGTCCCTCTCAAGTTTCGAAGGCATGGGATTGTATTGCGAGCCCCCCGCTCCCAGCCCGCTCCAGAAGACTCGGCTCTGGCACAACCTTTTGATGAAGATGCCGTCCTGGTTGGCACGTACCAGCACGCCTCTCTCCAGGTGGCCCAGGAGCTTATGCGTGACATGGCGCTGGCGGTCATACTCTATGAGCTCAGCAGAGGGGAAATGAACACTCTGCATGCTGTCTGAACTGTATAGAACTCCACGACCAAGGTGCTGCTGTGGGGAGATGCGGCAGCCTTCGGGATAAGTGACAGACGTGGTGTTCATCAGTTTTCCTCCGTAGTAGAAACTGATCATCATCTGGGAGAAAGCTAGAGCAGAGAACGTTTGGTGAGCTTTGCAGATTGGAAATAATAATGACACAAAAAGAAATGTGTGGAGCGGTGTTATTATTACTGTGAATGTCCGACTATGGAGCGTATGTTATAATGACACGTTCATGGAGAACGTCAATGAATACCTGAGCTGACGTTGCTTGATGGCAAAGGGTCCTGATGCAGAGGGAAAGCTGTGAAATACGAGAGGGCATAATGAGTCATGGGGCGTATCACAACAGTGGACACGCACAACCACTGTCGTGTCATTATTTTGCTGCATCATCAGAAAAAATATTTCTCTAGCACCTCCATGCAAAATTATCCTCTTAGTCAGCAGACTTCAACAGGATATTAGTCAATTCTTCCATTGCAGAATTCAACAGTCAACCAACTCTATTTAACATGCACAATCACAGTGACATATCACTGAGCGTTCACTGGGGTTGATTCCAAATTAAAATTGCCATTATAGCTCATACCTCTCAAACACCAAATAGTCTTACTTCAAAAACAACACAAAATGCTAAGATGTGTTATAGTGTCTAGCTACAACGATAACTGTCAGGGGACGATTTATTGTCTTACCATTGATGTTGCCGTGGGACCAATACTCAGGACTGGCCTGTATGCTGCAGCCTTCCTCCTGTGAAAAGACTACAATGTGAGAAACTGTTTTCAACAAAGCACCTTTGTACACATAGAGGAACAAGAGAGGGAAGGATTGTGTTTTAATAAATTGTTTGAACTACAAGGTAGTCTCACCTCTTTAATGAGCTCCTCTATCGCTGCAGGGCTGCAGTCCATGTCAGGGATATCCACAGAGCTGATGGTAGCCGTCATGGTCATTACTGAGCTTTTGCCATCTTGAGGGGAAAGAAACGTACATGGAGATTTGGTTATTGGCACAAACATGCAACTTCTTTGGAATGAAATGACAATCAGTTAACAAGTTAACATCAGTTAAGGTAATCAATGTTGCGTTTCATCACATCCGTTGCAAACTCACTCTTCTGCTCTTCCTCAGGTACAATCCGGTACACTTTATAGGGCTCAGAGATGTCCAGTTGTGACCTTTCTGTCACCTCATCGAAGTCAGGGCTTTTATTCAGGGCACAGCGGAGTCTGGTCTTCCATGTTGCGGGCTCAGCCTTTTCCCCCTCCTTAAACTTGCCTTTAAACACAGCCCAAGCCTGTGGAGGGAAAAGGTAATGTTAAATACAGTGTAATATGTATGGGATTAAAGTTGGAAAACAAATAGGAAACCTATTTTCAATTCTCAAAAAGGAACATAAAGAAGTCATGAATAAATTCATAATAATATTGGCATTTACAATTCAACAGTTACTAATGCTACAGTGTTTAAATAACACCAGTGCATTAGTTTTAAGTTTCCTTCATTATTATCTCAAATTGAAATTCATTTATTCAATGTTGTTAATGTTAAAAGGCGTAGGTTTAAGGTTAAGACTGACATTATTGTTTACGTCACATAAGAACTTGACCTGTGATCAAGTTGTGCTTTTACGCACAGCGCTGTGTGAAACCAAAAGTGTCCCCACGGAACGTGAAGAAGAGTGCTGCCAAACCTTAAAAATGGACGCGTCTACTTCTTGGTTGTAATCCTGCTTCCCTGCGTGTTTCCATGGAATTCGGAACATGGTGCGACTCTCATCCTCCCACTGCAGTCCGGAGTACTGCCCGCTCTGGATCTGCTCCACCAGCCACTGCTTCAGCCTGCGACCTCCCGAGTTGGACATCTTAACGGAGAAAAGTTGATTTTAAATTTCCTCCTTGTACCTAAATGACGAGGATATAATTATGATGTTATTGGATTGTGTTGGACCACCTTTTTCGATATGAAAGTAAACGCACTTACGGTTAGTTGAACTGTTCCTGTGAGTGATATCCTGAGACGTTGATGGATGTCCGCCTCTCAGATTTGATCAAGTGGGTTCAGCTTCTGCCTGACACATGCCAATCGATTTGATTGCGCTGCGAGTTATGAATGAAGCAGCAGCGAGATGATTTGACGACGCCGCCTGGATGCTGACCAATGAGGTGCGTTCGAGGCTCGGTAGCTCCGCCCATTCCGGAAGTCTTTTTCTTCTAACTTCGGGCGTTTACAAGAAATGGCCTGACAGGAGCCGCCGGGGTTGTAAAGCGGCGGCCCACGCAAATGCCCACGCAGACGCGCGGTGTTGAACAAGCTCGGAGAGTCACAAGTTACCTTGAGCCGTGGGGGGGAATTCTGCGCTCAAACGCGCCGAGGCCCACTCAGTGAGCTGCTAGTGACAAACACCGTCTTCAGTGCACGCGCACGCGCGCGTCCGTGTGGTGGTGACTCCAACAGGTGGATGCCAGAAGTCCTCATTCCCATATGCGTGCTTGGGATCAAAAGGGGGATTCACTGTGCGCTAAATAATAAAGTTCAACATCATCACACGTCTTGCGGGTTAAGCATTTACTCCTGAAGTCCATCCTCCGTAAAGTCACACCTTCTCTGCAATTATCTCCTGGGCTGTTTGTCCATCAATTGATTATTTCATTTACAGCAATGTTTTTTGGATTTTCCAACAAACATTGCTGTGTTTGAGCTTGTTAGTTGTGAGGGTTTGCTCTGATTTTATGAAAGCATGTTGATGTTTTCACAAAGTGAAACGTCCCATTGTTTCATTTCTGACTGGTGTCATTGGACTTGTGCCTCTAGTGCGGTACAAACAAGAGAGAATAATATGAATTTTGATATTGATTTAGGTATGTTTACGGAATAATATTGTTATTATTCAACTGAGCTACTCAAATTCAATGTAAAGTAATCTCGCATGTTAGAAGTACAGCTGCAGTGATACCTTCGGCTAATTAAATTAATTATAATTAAAGGTATCTATGTAATCCATAACTCTTTGATTGAATATTGTTTTCAGTATTTGTATCATGTAAAAAAGTTGAATTATACATTAACTGATAATTTGATTTGATGGTTTATTGTCTTTTCAATATGAAATAAAAAATTAAACTCATTTAAAGCATTTACTTTAAATGTCCTTGATAGAACTACTACTATACTATAATACTAATACTTTTCTGGTAGTAAATTATAAAACACACAGATTTTTACAACGCTGCAGTCCCCCGGGTCTTGTAAAGCAGCATTAATTAGTGATCTGCTGAGAATAATTTAACTTTTTAATTTAAAATCAACGTGGAGATAAATTCTAGAAAAGCTGCTTTCTCTTTTTAATCGAGCACCCTCAGACAAGCAGTTCATCTAGAAGTGAGCTGTGAAATATAAAACTAACCACATATATAGTCGTCTTCTCTTCCCAGAATTACATCCATACAGACACAAAGGGTCGATAGTATATATTTATTAGCATTTCTGATTTTTTGTCAACCCTGCATTTTATTATAAAACACAAACAAAAAGCATCATAAATACACAATTGAAAAAACTTACCAATAGCCATTAACCTTTAACACACATAACATGTAAATCAGCTCTCTGTCACAATAAAAGAAAATCAGGAAGACTTTCACATTTGCACATCGGCAGTTTATTCTTCATATGTATTGTTGTGCTTCCCAATTCAACTTGCTATGCGTTGCTTAAAGGAACGTTTCACCAATTTGTAAACTTACTCTGGAGGTTACTTCTAGTTGCAGGTTCTTAAATGTCCATGGTAGAATGTTCTCTGCAACTCTACAGAAAACCGAAGCAGTTTACGCACAAATGACCCATTTATTTAACAGGGTGACTAACAATAGAGGGTTTGGCCTTTTGAACTTTTGTCCTTTCTTTCTTTTGTTCTGTAACTGATAAAGCCGACTCCCACCCCCCCTCCCGCTAACCGCTGTTAAATATATATGAAAGGGACACACCTATTTGCGATGAACAATACATGACCATTATTCGCTTATAGTGTAGTTATGCAATGTCCAGTTTTTACACGTATGACCCGGACAGGGCACAAACTGGTCCATGTCGGAATAACTGCTAAGAATTTTGTTTAAGGGGATTTGATTGTCCACCAGCATTGACTGGATATCAACATAACTGGAAAGCAATGTTCCTTGCTGGTAGTGGACAAACGTCTAAAGCCCAATTCTAACCCAACCACCACGATTAGACAGCTGTAATAAAAGTATGAAATATATTTCATATTATTCAGAGTTGAACAAATGCCTTCAAGTTGGATAAAAGGTTGATTTGGAAATAGTAATAATAATAATAATAATAATAGATACTGCCATTTAGAGACAGCCTTGAGCAGGACATTAGCATCGTCAGAGGTCCATGTTTCAGCTGCTGCCTTCAGGATCAGCAGGGTCTGACGGCCTGGCAGGATTTATCCAGCGTCGGTCTGCTCCTCTCCGCTGGCTTTCCTGTTGCTCGGTGTACTGGCTCAGCAGGACACCCACCTGCTCCTGGTCATTAAATGGACTGGGACGGAAACTGGACCCTAACCATGTGCGATACTGGGAACAAGATGTTAGGATTATATTACCTTACAATGTTTAATATCTCACTATCTACACGTGTATATCGGTTTTGGCAGATAACACTGTATTTATTATCTAGCCTTTCACACCTATTTCTGGACTATTACAGTAGGTTTATAGACCACTAAGTTATGGGACGTGCGCTTAATGTCTTGTTACTGTGATGGTAGATTTATGCTGCATTCCTAACTTTCTACCTGAGGTGGGAAAGCACAAATACCATTTCCCTTTAAATCCTCGAAATCAGTACAAGATCTACAAACAACTAGAATTTTTTTCAGTCATATTATGTTGCAAGACGCTGACAGTAAGACTTGACACGTGATGGGCAGTACAACGCTAATGCAATCTCAGCAAACCCCCTGCAGTTCCCCTTCTCTACACAGCGGCTGGGCCAGTGCCACTGCAGTGAACTCACACACTCGCTGCCCCCCAGTAACTAATGTTAAAGCTGTGAACACCCATCTGCAATGTTATATGACACATACTGGCTGAAGAGAAGTTATGTGGAGAAGAAAGCTCAACATAAAAATGTAAAATAACGGATACTAAATCAGTGTCGTAGTTTTCTGATAACTTGAAAGCCGTAATCATTTTTGATCTGCCGTGCATTCTAAAGGTACTTAACGTTAGTTCTCGGCATGGAAACAAATGCTGGTATGTTCATCTCCACCTATTACGGATCAGTTTTAATGTTTAACGTTTACTGTGAGATTCAGATCAATGATCCTTTCTTAAAATAAGTGCATGGCTGCACAACTAATTACTGCTCTATAGGTGGAACTTGAGACTTTCCCGATCCCACTATTCCCACGTCAATTTTACGCCTCTCTTCCACTAAAGAAATGTAGAAACCATTTTAAGACCATGGCAATTAAATAGTCACAAATGAGACTGTCATCCATTACTGTTAATGTTACTGTTAACTGCTAACATAAAGTTAAGCACCCACACTGTGCGTCATCACATACAGTTCCTGTGCACGTCTACCAACAACAGCACGTAACACACAAAGCTAGAACTATGCTCAAGAGGAGAGCGTGGATTTCTTGAAATTGAATAAATCTGAACATCTTAAAAGATAACCACTCAAAATCCCTTTGATTAAGACAGGAATCTGTCAAAGTGGGCTGTAAACGGTGGGTCTCTGGTATCTGCGCATACATCATGTCTGTGGGTTCCTACATGCGTTTACCTCTGACACTTGTGTCGTCTGGTACTCCTGCAGCTGCTGCTGGAAGCCAGAGTTTGGGCCGACAAAGGAGCGAACAGCCTTGACTGCAGATAGACACTCATCCCAGTTGTAGTGGGTGATGGTCATCAGGTAGGCCACCACCATGGTGGTGCTGCGGGACACACCTGCGAGGCTGTAGCAAAGCCGAGGACACGGCTTGGATATCGTCAAACGGCAACTTCATCACCTTATTTCTTCATGATAAGCGGTGAATAACAGAAGGCCAGGAAGTGACTGGTTTCAGATTTAGACATAAAAGCCTACCAGTGAACAAGACAGGATCCGCCATTCAGGCGGCACTCGTGGATGAAGCCGATGCACTCTTTAAAATGCTGCAATCTGCCAAGGGAAAAGGACAAGAAGGGGACTTTTAGCACATTATACAAGACTGCACTTTGCAGTACAAAATAAAAGGAACTAATGCTACGATAGCATTTGGACTTTGGCACATTAATTCAGGAAACAAGCTGTCAGGCTACAAAGTATAGGATATGAGAATGCACACCTTGAACTGAAACTCCTGTGACGAGTCCCTGATCTTTTGTGTTTCAAATAAACTACCATGACCTTACCCTCGGATTCTGACGGTGGAAAGTAATGATTTAACCTCCACTACTCTAACTTGTTATGTGGGAAAAAAAGTTAAATCTACGCAAACCGAGAATATGTGGTCAACCAAACCTCAGACAGCGGGGGAAGGCAAGGGAAGTAACTGTCCTGCATTTTGTTAAGTTGTAACGTCAAATCACTCCGTGTCTACAAAATAAATCAAAATCAAAAAATGCAGCAAATAATCTCCTTCCTCTTGGTGGAACAATCATGGTGAAATGCTACTGTCCTCATAATTAAAACATTATGACTTGTACTGCAGTTGTGTTGGACCAACTTGCATGACTCTTCTCAAATCCACTTAAAAGCTAAGAAGTACTAAGAACACAATGTAAATTGATCCCAAATTAAACTCAAATCGCTTATGATCACAGAAATCATTTTAGGCTTTTAGAAATATAATTGCAGCACACTGAGGTGCAACTGCTCCTCAAATCTCCAACTTACAGTCAGGAAACACTGATGTTGTTTTGCATAATCGGGAAGTGCATGGTTGATGCCACTGTCTCCTGAGCAGATGCTGGTTACTCAATAGCAGACAGACTAACAGACTGGGGCTAAAATAGATTGACTGGCACTTTACTTTTTTTTTCCCTTTCCTTCTTCGTGAGATCCAAACTCCTCTTTAAAAGATGTCTCCTCAGCACTTAGTTCTGTCTTCCTAGCAAAGATGTTTCCGGCGGTCTTGTTTAATATGCAGAAAATTTGAGGTTTTGACCAGTTGAATCTTGAAAAAAATACCGATACAAATTGTTGAGCTAATGTAAATTTGAAATGAAAACATACCCAGTACAATTCTATGGTATGTTACAAATGATATTCAATACATTAAAAAATCATATTGATGCATAATACTAAAAATGCATAATGTTGTTGTGAACCAACTACAGCATAGTGGACACTCCTTGAACAAATGCATATGTCGTTTTGGAAATGTTTGATGCAAATGAGTTCACACCTTCATGGTCTGTGCACACTGAATTAAACCATAGCAGCCTGGTCATGAAAATATAGAGAAGGGGAATCCCTGGTCCTGCACAATCATGTTCACGTGCATGTTAGAAAATACATCAAATCAACATTTAAGGTAATTAAATTTATCTTATAAATGGTATCACTTAACTGCAGCTTCTTTATTACTGAAATTGAACCTTTTATAGTTGCAGGTTCTTTTATTGGTCTGCATCTCTGAGGTTTTCTGAGTTCCCGACCAAAATGCACCAAATAAAGCTTTGCTTTGTGCTGGTGGGGCCTGTGTTGACAGTTCGTCTCCTCTTATGGGCTATGACAGGCCGCCTATGAAAATGTAAATTAGGGCAATAAAATCAACCGACTTACTGACATCCATTCCAAAGTGCAGACAAACAAGCTTTAAGGACCCTTACGGTATTTCAGATGGTTTCACACTACTACAGACAGAGCCAACGAGACAAAAAGCGTCCCTGCTGTGGCTCTCACACGTGGGAGGGGCCATCAGGCCCGTCTGGCGCGGAGCACAGCGGTGCGTCAGTTGGCCTCACCACTCCCGTCAGTCAGACCAGTGATTGTGACACAGGGGGGGTCGAGGCCAACAGCCAGATGTCACTCTCGGCTTTCCTTCCTGTGATGCCTGAGGGAAGGACACTTGATTACGACACGGGAGGTCAGACACCTCCAGCCCAATCAGTAACATCCAGCTGAAGATCCCAAGTCGCATTAGTTTACACAGCTCCGTTTGCTTCTTTACACAGTAAACTAACCTCAAATACACACAAACCTAAAACAGAGTCTACTCTCGCAACCCGGCAAAACAAAATGCGTTAGCTGACTCACGTATAAACTCAGGCAGCATTAAATTAAAGTCTTCATCTTCAGTCATTGAAATGTCCCTATTTTGTCATTGTCTCTGTCCCATTTTAACATGAAATGACGTTCAGGCACCAACAAAATCATCTCTCATCGGCTCCGACTTCACAGTGCAAGCTGTTAACCTGCTGTTCTGCATAGATCCTCAAGCTGCAGGACGTGATTGAGACTTCTGTTTTGGGCCCTTAGCCAATGTTGAGTGTTTATTTACTGCTCCTATTCCTGCATGAAATCAAAAGACCCCACAAAATAAAATCAACCCAAATGCAATGACTAATGCATTGTGTCAGCGGCCGCTGCAAAGTTGGAGGCGCGGCTAAGGCCTCTTTCAGACCCAATCTGCCCCCGATGAACAACTTAAGCATTGAACTCTATCTCTAGATATAAATGTAAAGATAAAGAGAAAGAGAGAGATAATAATAATAATTGGTAAATGATTTAAATAAACTGAGAGCTCTTAGTCAGCTCTGCTTTCATTTTACCAGCCATAGTATGAATTAAGCCATAATCCGTCAGTAAATACCAAAAGAACTGCAATTTTAAAAAAAAGTTTTCTAAACTGAAAAAAGTCCCCATATAATATTTGTAACGGTTTGCATTTGGCAGTCACACCCTGGCACACAATTTGCAGGACAATAGTGTTGAAATAATTCTGCCTGACTCATTAGTGTTTCTGAAACCACGTGGACATGGAAATGAAAAAATTGGAGATGCGACCCGTGTCTGAGTGTGTTAGTGAGTGTTAGTGCGTATGTGTCTACTCACAAGTTCTGGCTGGAAGCATCAGCTGCATGAATACAAAGATACGTCACGTCCTGTAAAACATACATGCATAACAACAGAAACAACATTGAAGAATAAAGGCTGTACGTGTGTGAATGTTACCTGGAAATCGCCAGCTATCGACTAAAATAACGGCACAGGTACGTTTAGCAGGTGGGCATCAGTTCTATCTTAACCGAGCCCAAAAACTTTGAGGTCTGGAATCCAGAAAAATGTATTAGGTAAATGTGTAGCTTAAGGTGAGTCTATAATTTTACCATGAATTTAAAGCTTTACACCTATTACCATGTAATTACACATTAGAGCAATTTAAGAAACGTCTCATTATTACCTCCAGATCTTAGACTTGCACATAAGTAATTATTTAAACTGCCATTATCAGGCATGATACTCCGTTGCTCCAACCATAACTCATCACCACCCCCAGCTGGCTGACATGATACATCACAGTGTTACATGCAAAGTCATACAAAAATGTAACTGTGAGGTTTTCACAAGAAATACAGACTGTTTTGACGTAACCAACGAGGTCTTTCCACTGACCTCAAACACAGGCTTGGCATTGTTGTACACAGACAGGATGTGGGTGATGCCATTCTTAGAAAGGCTTTCTCTGTTTTCTGCATCTGGGACAAAGAGAGATAGAAGTATATCCCAGCAGAGTCAAGTCGGTAGCTGATACAACCACAACCAGTTGTAGTGTAAGGTGCCGCACAGGACCTGTGTGTTTATTCTCCTGCAACTTCAGTCGGTACGGTTAGGCCTCGGGTGACTTGTTCCTGTCACTTATACTAATTTGAGCCATAATGCATGGCCCATCATGTGGAGAGATCATCCCGGCAGCTAAAGATAGAAACCTGCAAGTGCCACGTTAGCTGAGATGTTGGGGGCCATGGAGCGACACCCAGATGACTGCGTAGCTTACATGAAGCGCCACCGTCTTTTATGTTAAATGCCGCTTGGATCTCTTTCCTCTGACATACAGCTTTGACAGAATAACTAACTTTTAGGGACAAAATCTATTTACAGGCATTAGTGCCGATACTTCCGTGTGCTGCATTGAAATGCCGACAAAACAAGCAATATGTTCAAGAATGCTGTCGGTTAAGGTCTGGTGATACTCTACTGTATGAATCCACGGCACAATCATTCATACAGGCATTCATGTTTGACTTACCTCTTATATTCCCAAGGTAAAGCCCGTCCACAACCTGTGAAGCAGAAGTCAAAGACACGTTGCATTTAGGTTAGATATTATTGCAGTCCAGCTTCAAAATCTTCACTTGAAAATGAACAAAGGTCCTGGGTTGAGCCAGGTGGATTTAAGGTTTAGGGTTTAAAAGGACCAAATCTTGCACATCATTCCCGACAGCCATAGAAGGCCTGAAGCAATGATGCGTGATTATAAGGACAATGTGATGAGTGGCAAGAAGCCACAGAGTAGTGCTGCACTTTGGTATCATTCACACTCATAAAACGCAAGAGCGACCTGTTGTGGCAATTAAGCCCCTTGGCAGTGGTTTCAAGACTTACTATATTGATTCCTGTTTGAAAAAGAGAACTTGTACTAAACCTGTGGTGGTCAAATGTTTTTGAACTACAATGGGCACCAATGTGGTGTTAGTCGTGAACTTTTTGCAATAATTTGAAAAAAATATCATTGATAATTGTGAGAATTATAACTAATTATAATAAATAATTCATAAAAGTGAGAATATGTATAGAATAGCATAGTCATAATAAGTATGATATAATATATTGATTTGATCCTAAAGAAAGGTTGCATGATTCCCTCTGAGGAACAGCAACTCTGGATTTGGTCTCCTCAAAAACATAAGAATTAATCAGATATTTGGAACAATAAGAATCCTTTTGACATAAGGTCATCAGATCTCAACCCAGAGCATTATTCTCGTCAAAGTCTTTTATGTTTACCCATTATTAAAGCATTCAAAGGAGCTATACGCAGTACTTAAGGCTGCTGCAAAGATGGACCACAAGATGATCCATTATTTGGTTTGTTCCCATGCTTATTACCAGCGTGGAACGGGGGGAAGCATGTCACGTGATTGATTGAATGACGCAGGCAGCTACCAGCTACACCTTGGAGAATGCGCCACACAATAAGCAAAGGACAACATTTTAACCCGGGTACATGGAACAAAACCAAAGCCTACCTTATTCATTCCATTGCCCATGATGACTTCGAGCCTGTCCGCGATGAGCTAACACTGCTACGATATTTTAACATGGACTTTGAATGGAAAACCCGCGGCTCGACCGGCTAAAGACAACAGGGGACAACCTTTGCCCGAGTCGCTGTGTCGGATTTTAGACTCATCAACGCGTTTAAGTCCCACCACCCACCGTAAAAACAACAATAAAGGTTGTTAATTAAGCTTCAGCGGTGTCAGCTGCGACAACAGTTCCGTCACGTTGTATCATCTTCCGGATTGTTTTGACGTGAAACAACTGGCTCATCCGGTAAGTGACGTCACAGCATCGGCTGCACCGACGCGCAGTGCGTGCACCGCGGGGACAGATGTTCTGCCCCCCGCAGAGACCATGGTGAAGCACTAGAACCAGTGTGAGCACATGTCGGTAAAACGGTCTGAAGGCGGGAGCCGGCTCGCACATTTTGTACCCGCACTTCACTTCAAGCATTGGGCGGAAACGTCGATAACCGGAAATGGTTTTGTTCCGGATCTACAGGTCCGAGCGAGTACGATGGCGAGGAGTCTTGTTCTGGAGAACGTTAGTCCCAATTCTAAATAATGTTGTTAGCTCTACTTTTGTTTGGTAAGAAAAGGAATGTGGATCTTGAAGCGAGGAGATGTCCTGCCGGCACCATTGCAAGTGATGCTCTCGGATATATTTATTATGGCAACTTAACCGGAAGATTCAGCCTAAACTGCATGAGGTCACAACAGATCACGTGAATGAAAAGTGGTAACTAACTCCTACAACAACTTAAGTAAAATCATCGATGGGGTATAGTTCTTCCTTGTTCACATGCAACAGTCATTACAAATAAAGTATTATTACATACGCAAACACAATACAAAAGAGAGGTTAATTCAGCTTAACCATTTTTATTTGTATTTTTATCATACACAACGACCGTAAGAGGAAGGGGCCTTCCAAAATGCACAGACTTGGGTAATGTGGACAATTGAGAAATACAGAACTATTGGTATTCTTGTATCTTTGAATTGGTCTGCCTTTATCGCCAAGTGTGTCCTGGTCCTCAGCGTCCTTTACTTTTTCCATTGCTTGTTTTCGTAGTCCCAGTTGGCTGAGAAGCCCTCAACTGGATTCATTCTCATGTCCAACATCCTTTGCAGCTCCTTCTGTTTGTACTCTGGATCAAGTGTGTGTGGCACGGGTCCATACACTGCAAAGGGACACATTGTGTTGAGTGGTATGCTTAATTCAACTCCATCAAGCAAGTGTAATACAGATAATTGCATTCCTGTAATTACCAATCTTGCCATTAGACGGCATACATACCGTACTTTCTCTGCCATAGCACAAGCAGGCCAGTGAGGCCCATTAGGAAAAATATCCCTGCGACCACACTTTTCCACTCTGCCGATTCCTGGTTCATCTCAGCAAAGCTCTGGTGGAAGCTGATGCGGTACACTGAACATTCAAAATAAAATCTAGATGATTACAATTGTAATAGATGAAATACGGAATCACAATTAATACATTACAAAATTAATCAAACATTTGATATTAAAATTGGTTTGAACCACAATTATGAATGTTTAAAAAAAACTGCAGTCATACATGCAATCTTCTCATCAGCAGAGAGAGCAGCCCAGGCACCCTTCTCTTTCTCCTTCAGGGATGCCTGGACTGGACTCAGGTTTTGCACATAGCGGATGTCTGGGAGGGGATTCTCCCGCCTGTCAAAGTAGGCAGGGAGAGTGTAGTCCTCTACCTTAGCAACACCTGCATGAAATGACAAAGAATGCCTCAAAATACAAGTTTCACTATCACCCAACATCGTAATTGATGCAAACCCTTTCAGCCATATAATTTGTATTACAAATATTACTATTATTATTAAATATTATGTTTCATTACCCTGGTATAAGACAGTATGCTAATAAAAACATCGCATCAGCGGTGTACTAATCTGTACTGGTGGCTGGTAAATAGGTCTCAGCTTCAATAATATACAAACAGAGTGACAGGTTTACAGTGTCATGTAGTTAAGAAATTGAAAAGGTATCTAAAGGTTTCTACACGCCAAAAGCAAATAATAGAATAGTGTTGTTGGAGAACGGAAAAAGAGTTATGTTCATATAAACAAGCTAACATAATAAATAATCGCCCCACTTGAATGACATTTGTTAAGTGATTTTGCTTTAAAATAAAAAATACCAAAACCATTTGTCGTTTTGTGTTGTAATCCCAGATTAATGAGCCTCGTTGGCAATTGATAGATCAAATAACAAGACGTTTAAATCATTAAAAAAAACTACCCATGAAAAGAAGGTCAGCCTGGGTCACCCTTACCATGTCCCCCACGAAGACACACAGATGTGGAAATGGCACGTTTGCCAACAAGGCGGAGGGCTCTGGAGGCCAGCATTCTGTGGATAAGGTCATATGAAAGATGTGTCCAAACTTAAATACATTTAAACATAGTGACATGTATGACAACATATCTGTGCTGGTCTCGACATATACAGGATATTAACATTACTTCATAAATCCACGTTAACGTAGGTTAGCAGGTGCTGGGTATTTTAAGAACAGATATTTGGTATTTGGCAGATGGATACCTGCATTCAAACCAACGTTGAGTCACGTTGCTTGCACACAACTTACAATATTTATTCATACGCACTTTAGTTTAAATTCATATATAGCAATTAACGTTAGGTTAAATTGCGTTAATATTGTACCAAAACACAGGTCTACCATAAGGTACAAATGAAAGCTGCGCAAATGCTAGCGTTAGCGTTAGCTGCAAAGACAAGGTCATACCGCCCAGGAAAAACAATCACATGTATGACGGTTCTACGAGCCCAGACTGTATAAGTACGTAATACGTTCCCATGTACTGAGATTGGATTCACGAGAGAAAAGGGAAGACTACTTCAACGGATAACTATCTGCACGACACATCCGCCATCACAAATCAGATGCTACAAGCTAGCGAAGAGCTACCCGGTAAATTAGCCCGTTTTAGCTCCGCTCCAATCCGACAAAGTCACTTGTGCACAATTGATTATTTCGGTCGAAATGGCCACTCAACGTTGGACCTTTACTTTGTTTCGAATGTGTACATGTCAAAATGTGTGCATGTGATAACGTATGATATAATTATAGCTAGTTAGAAGGATGTTGATTAAAAAATAATCCGACCTACTGTCTCTTCCTTGCTCCCGTACGCCGATGCTCTGAAAGGAAGTATAACGGTCCCCGGAAATACGTAACTCGCGTTACTAGGAGGTCAACGGACCGGATGGATGATGCTTTGTGCTCTCATTTTACGACACGTACAGTCCGATTTACGGCACCACCGGTGCTGCAGTGACGAGAAGACGCTGGAAGCAAGACCAGCTTAGATTTCGCAACACGGTTGCAGAAAGACCATTGTCGTTTTTGCTCATTGTAAATCGTAACTTTATATGTTGGTGTCAGTCGTGTGAGGCGGATATCTACTTTTCCTTTGGCAATAACGTCGGCTAGCCAAAGCAGACCGCAGTCCCTTCTCATCGTGTGGCCACTCAACTTCTACCGATCTGTCCATTTCTTTTCTTTTTTTTGACGGATTCCGCCGATTTTCTCATCAACATGCCAATTCAGCTGACTAGTCAGGCTTACTGTAAGATGGTTTTGCATGCTGCCAAATACCCTCACTGCGCCGTCAATGGGCTGCTGGTGGCAGAGAAAATGAAGGAGAAGAAGAAAGACTCCCACGGGGAACCGGTCCTCTGCGTGGATTGTGTGCCGCTGTTTCACGGCACTCTCGCTCTGGCACCAATGCTGGAAGTGGCTTTAACGCTGGTAAGTCACAGTTCCACGTGGGTCCACCTGCTGCTACCAGACAACATGGACTGATTCAGTTCTTGTTTTAAACCGTTTTCATTGAACTTCATAGTCATTATTAGGCTGTGTTGGACTCATTTGCACTGCCTCGCTAACAGGTGCTTCAAATATTCTGCTGAGTCAGAATCAGTTTAACCCACAAACCCATATGTAACAAATATAGTTTATAGCCGTGCCGTGTTGGAGTGAGTTCCTTGTGTCCCAAACAAAGTGGACTTATTTAGTTCATCTCTTGATGTGACCGTCTGACCTCTGCTGTCCTCAGATTGATACTTGGTGTAAAGAAAATAATTACGTCATCGCCGGATATTATCAAGCCAATGAACGCACAAAGGATCCAAGGTACGATACAAACACCAAATGAACACAGACACCCTGCTGTTCTGAGAAAACAAACCACTTTTAATGATCCCTCTTTCAGACCCAACCAAGTGGCAGAGAAAGTGGCTGCCAGGATTTCTGAGAACTTCAGTGACGCAGCCATTGTTATGGTAATAATAGCTTTTTTCAGAGTGCTGTCAATTGACTATAAAAGGTTTGGTCCATTTCCCTGAAGTTAGGCAACTTTTTTTTTTTTTTTAAGCATACGGTGTACTTTTTGGTTAAACAAATGTGTTCATCAGTTCAGTGGATTAAAATGAATTAATTTATCACACCAAGCGCCACAATCTGAGACTTGTTTTGTAGCTGCAGACCATCATAAAAAGATAAATACAGAAAATGGTGTTGAAACATTTTGAAAGCATTGATGTGAGTTTAGTTTGTTTTTGCATTGAGTCCCACTTCCAAATGGCGCCTATGCTCTTACCCTGAAGACTTCTCCAGTTACCCGATCATCATTCAATAATGGGGTGAAATGAATGAAAAGCAACAATAGGTTCCAGATTGGTTGCATTCATGAAGATACGATCTGCTTATTGATTTATTTAGTAATGTATCAACAACATTTTAATGCACCTGGCTGCCAAGATGTTAGAAAAATATGTATAATATCTATGATGCTATTTTTTTTATAAGGGTTCGCTGCGTTGTAAAGTATACATCATTAGTAATTGGTTCCCTAAAACATGCCAGAAACCGGCCTGGTTCTGTGCAGCTACTCCTAACAGGTCTGTGTCTATACTCAATCTGTAACTTTCTGTTTATCAATCAGGTGGACAACAGTAGATTAACAATGAGCTGTTTCGAGCCCATTGTGCACATCTATGACCACCATGAAAACAAGTGGAAAAGCAGAGAAGTAACTTTGTAAGTGCCGCAATCCCCCTGTTCTCTCATTAACTAGCGAAATAGTGGAATTTTTCAGGTTAATGTTTAATGTTTTTATTGAGAGATGTTTTGTTTTTGTTTGTTTGTCTTGCAGTGACTGTTTTGAGGACTGGAGCGAAGCACAGAAGATCACATCTGCTCTGTTAGAGGGCCGGTCCTACGAGAACTTGATTGACTTTGACAATCACTTGGACGATCTGAGGAATGACTGGACCAACCCGGTGATCAACAAGTCCGTCCTGGATCTATGCTAAGCCAGTCAGTCCCCAGTGCAAAACACATAGAGAAATATTTCTGCAGTTTCAGCATGCATGATGCTACTTACTGTGTAGCACAGGAGTACAACAATACTGAACGCATGACCTTTGTTCCATTAAAAGCCCCTCTGCCCGAGAGGAACCTACGGAGCACTGACCGGTTAGGCCGACATCTCCGAAGTGCGAGAGCCATATGTGCTGTGCTGGCACGTGTCCACCTTTACAAGGTGATGCTGACGTGATGAAGGCAATTTTGTGTTTGACTGCAACTTTTGCGTGTGTTTTTTTTTCGTTTTGTTTTTTAAAATCTTACAATGGTTTGTGTTTATTCATAGTTGTGTGCATAAACTTAAATTCTATAGTAATTTATCTTTTTTTTTTTTTTTCCTTCTGAACAATACATCAGTAGCCATACAGATCAGGACTTTAAGCAGATGAATGTACAAAGATGATTATAGATGCGTGTTTTCTACTTTAGGTGTAGTTTGTTTAAAACCGTTAAATTCAAATATAGAACTGTATTCTGAAAGTGCCGTTAATGTGGGCAGTTAATTTAAAAACAAAGCAAAACAAACAAACAATTGAAACCTTAGATGAAGCAAAAGAGGCAGAAATCATAGTTCACTACTAGTTTTGTCTTCTATTATCTTTGTCTTATCTATTTCAAAGGATGTGACTTAAATAACTTATTTTTATGCGAAGATTTCTATGACTGATGTCTCCCGGTACACTTAAGAGTTTAATTCTTCTGATTATACACACATTGGTGAATTGGCTTTTGATTGTTCAGAAATACAATATGTCAATGAACGCGTGAATCTATGAATTTAGCTTTTATTTTGGGAATCTTTCATTAGAATTAGGTGAGTTTGTATTTATGCTGCTTTAAAGCCTACTATTAAATAAGTTAAGTTAAAACATTTCAATATATAGTGTCATGAAACCGTCCTACTTTTCTGTTTCAAATTAAGCAGCAAGAGCCATTAATTAAAAGGTGTGATTGTCACATTTTTTGCATATGTTTTATAAACTGAATGTACAATAATATCCCTTTTGGAACCAAATGTTTTGTCGGCTCAAGTCCTTTAGTAATTTATTCTGCAGGGTTATAGATATTTACCACTGCCGTTGAAACTTAAAGGTCAACTTATTGTCAGGCCTCCAGGTTTTGGTTTGATTATTGGTGGTTTTATCAACGGGACAGCATCATATGTAATCTTTTCTACACCCGTAGAATGGTGAATATTAGTATGTTTTGTCACTTAGCATGACGCAACTTATATGAAAACTATGTTGTAACTGACATGGCGAAGTAGGAACACTACAGAAAAATAATGGCGTTCAATAAACTTATGAATTGCCTAACCTTAAAAATGTTACCAGGTCAGAAAATATAACAAAAAAAGGTTTGAAAAGTAAAGTGAACTGAATTTAAGTCTTTGTCACAGCAAAAGTCTGTCATTTTACAACATACATTAAAAAAAATAGGCTAGAATTCCCGTTAATATGTGATTTCGAGCTTCCCGGACTGCCTGTTAAGTTTTATAATTTTAATGACAACTGCAACACACGGAGGAAAAGATATTAACCACTAACTTTCCTCTTCATGGCAACAGCTTGTGGATAAACGGAACTATTACTAAATGTTCCTTTGAACATCAATGCTGTTCCTTAAAGTCACGTTTGACTTGCTGGGCAAAATGCATCTTCATAAAAATTACGTAGTACGTAGTTCTCACAATACAACAATGGTAAAAACCTATATTATATTATTGCTTAAGATAGAACTATCCAATAGTACTTAAAGTAAAGGTGTATAACACAACAATAAAAATGACATTTCACGACATTGATGTTTTTTTATTTATTCATTTTTTTATTATTCAAACCACTATTTACCTCAATATAAATAAAAATGATAAACCACGATAATGGGACGTTCTGCATAATGCAAGCAGTCTTCGATATATCGTAGTAACCTTTACTAAATGGTTTGCACCGCTCCGTCACCTGGTCAATACTGCCACCTGGTGGTGCCGACCTGCAGATATCGTTTGTGTCACGTGTCCCATTTCTTCTTTCCGGTCCAGACAAATGTCGTTCTTGAAAGCTGCAATAATTAGCATCCTTCAAATTGACAAACTTTCTAAAGATACGACACGTATGTAGAGATACGATAAAAAAAGTGAAATACGATAAAAAAAAAGTGAAAATCGTCACCAAGTGGAGAGCACGTGACAGGTTATGACGTGGCTCGCTCCTCCTACGTGTTCTGTGTACGTTCGTGTGAGCGCCAGTGCGGGAAAAAGTGGACTACGATGTGAGCTCGGGTAAAAGTATTTTTAGCAAATCGAACTTATCCAGCCAGTCAGCTATGGATCCCTCGGAGGTAGAGTTCCTCGCCGAGAAAGAGACGGTGAAGATAATACCAAACTTCAGTTTGGATAAGATCTATTTGATCGGGGTAAGTAAGTAAAGTAAAGTTACGTGTGTTCGTCAAGACGTGGTTTTACGCGTTTAGGCAGTTGGTGTTTGTTGCGTTAGCCTCAACAGCTAACGGCAGCTTAACTCAAACCTGATGGATCGTCATACAATGGGTCAGTTTAATGGAAACTAGCAGCTGTAATCCACATACCGCTAACGGTGGTGTTTTCCTCCCGTCAGGGTGACCTGGGTCCCTTCAACCCCGGACTGCCGGTCGATGTTCCTGTGTGGCTGGCCCTCAACTTGAAACAGAGGCAGAAATGTAGAATAGTTCCTCCTGCGTGGATGGATGTTGGTGAGATGTACAATGCAAACAACTCTTTGACCTGCTTTAAAGCTGACTGAATATTACATGTGGGATGTATGTATGTGTATGTATATGTGTGTGTATGTAATATATATATATATATATATATATATATATATATATATATATATATATATACATGCATGCATGTGTATATTACGGCCTTTTATGTCCTATCGGAACCCAAGACTAGATTTATTCCATGGCTGCATCACACACAAATGTTGCTGAGAGCATCATTTCAACACATTTATCGAAAGCCTAATCCTTCTAGCATCCTTGCATCAAGCATCCTCATTTGAGATTAGCAAAGTAGATGCTGAGTGAATGCGATGATTTGTTTACGCCTGTTAATCATCAATAACATTTTTGTCGATATTATTTACACTTCAAACTGTTCAATGGGGGTGCGGTACCATGACAGGGCTGGCGTTATTCTGGCGTTTTTGTTATCGTCAACACTTGCCACTAACACATTAGTCCATCTCTGGATGGCTTCGGGCTTCCCACCCTTTCTACGGGATTGGAGTCTTTAGTCTTTAGTGCAAGATGCTGAAGAAAAAAAAACAGACCTATATAAGATGCTGACGTGTATGCAAATTTGTGGTTTATTAAATGACAGTTTTTGGCTCCCCTGCTGTTTCTGATGTGCAGAGAAGCTGGAGGAGATGCGAGAGCTGGAAAGGAAAGAGAACGCCTTTACGCCTGCTCCCAGTCCTTACTACATGGAGCTGACCAAGCTGCTGCTGAACTAGTGAGCCATTTAACCCCCACAAGCAGCATCCGGACCTTCCTTCTTATGGTGCTCATATTGTTAATGTGTGTCTGTGAAGTCTACATCACATGAGGATGTGTGTGTTTGTCTTTAGTGCGTCAGACAACATCCCTAAAGCAGATGAGATCCGCACGCTGGTCAAAGACCTCTGGGACACGCGGATTGCCAAACTCCGCCTCTCCGCCGACAAATTCATCAGCCAGCTGGAGGCTCACGCGAAGGTAAAGCTGGCCGTGGAGGTTCACACGCTGCGATCTTATAGGAGTGTAACAATCAAACAGTTCATTAGTCAATTGGCAGAAAACTATTCAGCTTTTTTTTTTTTTTTAAACAAAAATGCCACAAATTGCTTTCGTACATTTTCTTTATTGTGGATCAATTCATTCAAAAAAATGTAACGTCTAATTTGAAATGCCCACCGGTGATTTTGTTGAAATTACAGAAATGTATAAGCGCTAATTCTTACCGATAGAGCTGTAGCTAAATGTGTCTCTCTCACTAGCTGGACAACCTGACTCTGATGGAGATCAACACCATACGAGCGTTTCTTCTCGACTCTCTGAACTGCATGTACAAACTACGCTCCAATCTGCTGCCTGGCTCAAGTAAAGGACAGTTCACGGACTATTGATCCGCAGAAGGCAACCGGTTTGGATTCTGGACTGATCTGATCAGCCTCGGACTGAAGTCTGTACTTTCTCGTTTTAAGTTTTAGTCACAAGATGTATGTTAATAGTTGATTGAGGCTTAATGACTTTAGCGCAGCTTTTTTAAGGAGTTGTACATATTTCTTCCTGTGTAACTTGTGTTAAACATTTAACGATTTAAGAGTGCTCAAAAAATATTAAAACTGCCACAATATTTGTGTATGTCTCTACATGTCAAATGAATTGTATTATTTCTGGGCTACTTATGTTTTTTTTAGGAAATTGATTGTGGGATTTTTACTTTTTGGACAATTGAGAGAACCAGTGGTTGGTCTACTTCCAAAAAAGTTAATTTTCTGATGTAATAAAAGGCTGTCTAGTACAATAAAATTTGGCACACTGCTATGAAACCTTTTTCTGAATTTCTATTCAGAAAATTCTACCAATGTCAGCTCTTGGAGGGACACTTCCTTCCATTTGACCCGTATTAAATATTAAAGCGCAGTTGGAAACCACAGAGGACCAGCTCCGAGACCGGCACCAGTTCAACCCTTCTGCCCCCTCCCAGCACCACAAACAAACAGGTTGATTTTTAACATTTTGAAATATTTTATTTTCTTTTTTGTCTGAAATCACAGCCATATATTCATAAATACCTAATTACTACATTCAACAAAGAATATATTACATTACAATGAATTCAAACAAGTACATTTTAAAAACAAGATTTCACAGCATCTAGACATCCTCCGCTGAGTGATGGGGCTATTGCGTGGGCCGGGGACGCAGGCTGAACCGTGGCAGCACCTCTGCATTGCCTTTTCCGCTCTGTAAAAAAAACGACCTCAACCTTTGTATCCACCTGATCCTTTGAACTGGGCCGCATTTATAAAACGGTGTTGTGATTAACTCGGTTCTCAGAGATGCATTTAGATGAAGGAATTCTGTGTTGGTTCTTGGGTCATGCACACGTTTGAAGAAGTGGGAGACCAACGGTGGCCACTTGAATGTGAAATGGTAATTCCCTGATCACTGGCGTCGTGTGTAGAATGTCCGATAAGAGGACTGCAACTCATTCACGTGCTCCCAGATTCTGGAGGCACTTGTAATTAGCATTCTCTATGGAGGGGGTAGCTGTGCTTCAGTTCTTATGAATTCCAATTCGGCACGTTTTTTTTTTCTTCACCCTGGAATATGGAAATGTCCCGCTCTCAACACACTGTGTCCCACAAGTATAACTTGTGCAGCCTCTTTAATTCAGAACTATGATCTGCGCACCTCCTTGCTGGCGTGTGGGGTCTTTCATCGGCCAAAAGGCCGAGGCAGCAAGAGTTACAGGATAGAACGTTGTGGCCTACGCAGCGCTGACGGGCTGTAAACGTGTGTGAGGCGAGTCCAATTCAATCCATCTAATTTTGTATGTACTAAAAAAGGCCCCGTTTGAAAACGTCCTTTTGTGATTTCCATTCATTATTTGTACATGTTGGGAACTTTCGATAGGAGTCCTAAAACAACATGGGTAAATGCAGGAAGGAGATGAATGGACGCAAAGTAATCCAGTGGTGGAAGATGGCTGTTCTGATTTAAAAAGGTTTGGCTACCTAATTGCAACTCCATTTAAAATCCCAAAAGCTTCCTTTCTTCATTTTGGCACTGTGTCCTCATGACTGCCGATAAAGGCTTGTAAGGCGTAACGTAATGCAAACCGTCATATTGGTTGAGTCTAACTCGTGATGTCATACACAGGGAAGTGAAAGGTCCAATGGTAGGATAAAGCATCAATAACCAGTTCCATCAGCTGGCCGCTTAAGAGACTCTTCATGTCTTTACAAAATCAAGTATGTCAAATGTCCAAAGTTTAAAAAAAAAAAAAAGAAATGTCACTGTGGATCTCAACTTGTTTCTGTAAGAGAATATCACAAGCTAACAGCATGAGTGAGTGACCGGAGGAGGGGTTGATGGGCATTAAACCAGAGACGCATGTTGCTGTGAAGGAAGGGGGCGGGACCACGTCTCAGGACCTCCAAGTGAGATCTGCTGAGCTCGGACGCAAGAGGTGGTCGTGGCCGGGTCAGGAGTAAGAGGAGTGTGTTCTGTTCTCTCCCCCCACTCGGTTAAGATGTCTCAAGATGAGCTGTTCTGGCCAGCAGCAGTACAAACACTAAAAGCAAAGCTTTCTTTTCCAACCCAAAAAAAAGCATAAACATAAAAAAATGGCAGGCCTTTTTCTTTAAAAGAACAATGATTAAAGTAATAAAAACATACAAAATCTTTTAAGTCTTCATAGTATTTACAATACAAGGCTGAAGCACCCTTTAAAATTCTTATTCGCAAATTTTCTATTTTGAAATAAAACATTTTCCTTAATTCTTTCTAAAAATGTGCATTTTCTAAGTTCTTCCCTAATTTGAACAGTTCTTTGTTGTGATACAGTACCACCAGGTAGTTCTTCAGCTTTTATTCTTAAGTGCATTTCCAGTTCAAAAGCTCACGTGGCCACAGCGGTAAAATCGGTCCCGGGCCGACCAGAAGCCTTCGACGCGTCCCGAGTCTCTTGATGACGCCGCTCTCTGGGGGCGGCTGCTCCCTCCATGGCAGGATTGTCTGTGTGGCGGTGAGGGATGCGAGGACTGATGGAGCAAGCGAGCGGGTGGGCGGCGGGGACTGAAGAAGGTGGGACAGGTGTGTGTGTGTGTGTGTGTTTGTGTGTGTGTTAACCTCGGGGTTCTCCTGTCCCGTGCACTCTGTGTTGGCTACATTGGCACACGTTAGTGGCTCGTGGTCGTTCCTTCAATGTATGGTCCTGTCTCCTCTGCGTTCATCTTCCATCCATCCACTCATCCTATCTAGCCAGCCGTATTCTCCTCCGTGGAGACGCGTGGACCCGGCCGTGAAAAATAAACTCTGGGCGTCAGTCTGAAGGTGGAGTAGCCCTGGCGGGGCCATCGGGTCGGCGTGTCGGGGTCACCTGGGAGGGTAGCCCTTGTAATGGCCGCCTCTCGGCCAGTGTGTCTGTGGCAGCGTCAAACACTTCCTGAAGTGCTCCAGCTCGACTTGTAGCTTCTCCCTTTCCACTGCCAGCTTCTGTCTCTGGGACATCAGCTCCTGCGCGAACGGGGACGCAGAGAAGGAGGACTTTAGATAGGAAGTTAAGAGAAATAATGAATGTTACACGGTACCAACACAAGAGTGGGAAATACAAAAATGTCACGGTGCTGTCGTGAATATTACTAAATGTATGAGACGTTTGATCGTTATATTCTTAACGGGGATTACCGAGGCCTATTCATTCATACTGAAGGAGGTGTGTCTGGAGAAGGGAAATGTGTGCGTGCATCTTACCCCCATGCTGTGAGACAGCTGCTCAGCACTCAGGCTGAGGTTGTAGTTCTGAGCTTCTAGTCTTCGACACTGGCTCTGCAGAACTTGTCGTTCCAAAGTTTGCTCTAGGGGACAATAATTGAATAACAGAAGACAGCGAAAGACAGAAAGTTGGGTATTATAGACAAAAAGAAGAAATAAAAGCAGCAGTATTCAGCTTAGTTTACTACCAAAAGAAAAAGGTAATAAGATACACCTGTGACATTGTGTTTGGAAAATATATAGGGAAATGTTAAATTGTCACCCTATACAACTAGACATTGGCGTCTTTTTGACGGTTTTATGTAACCCACATTCAAAACGGAGTCTGAGACTTTCAGCAGCTTCCCTGCGCGTTCTCTGTAGCTGCTCACCTTCAACGTATTCCTGATAAGCTTCAAATATAGATTCAATCCCCTGCCACTTGGAAGCAGGAGCCTGCTCTTCTTCCTCCTCCTCCTCCTCTTCCTCGGAGTCATCCGGACCAGAGAGGTCCTCCCTCATCCCTGAGGCCTCCCGGTGCGGGGCCACAGAGAAGTGCTGCCCGTTGGGCTGAGGGTGGGCAAGTGAGAGTGGGTGGCCAAATGAATGTGCATTTGAGTTGGATTGCGGATGCGGTTGCGGCGGCCGACCCGGCGCTCCCTGGAGCTCTGGAATGTTGTAGTGGACAGAGGACTCCTGGAGGTGGGACGTCTCCGACATCCCTGTAACTCCACCTGACGGGACAAGAAAAGGAATCAGCTCTAATCCATTTGATGTGTGGTAAAAGGATTGCTTGATTAATCTCGGGGTGGAAATAATTACCATTATCAGTTAACGTGGCACTTATTTTTTTTAATTAACTGAGCAATTGTTTAGTCTATAAATGATCAGAAAATCAGGGCTTCCACCCTTTAGTTTCATTAGAGATTGTGTCCCAGAATATTTCAAAGATGATATAGCACAGGATGGAAGTCTGATTAAAATGACGTACAGTCTACGGCTATAATTTATATATGATATTATCTCCTACGTGCTTAGCAATGACAATCAAACAATAATAATTAATTAAAATAAAAAATGCGACAGTTACCAACCAGAAGTGACTAAAATTAACATTTTGAATGATAATGAAACTTACATTATTGAAAACCTAATGTGTGAACTGCATGCGCAACAGTGTGACCTGTTAATTTATGGCACGAAAACACGTTTTGCTCATCCGACACGTCACATTTGCAGCTTCACACACTATTAATTTAACAAAGCATATTTTTTAAAAGACATGACGGCTCTGCGAAATTGTGATGATAATTCACAGATTTTTCTACGAAAAAGATATGCCACTGGCAGACGTGTAACGAGCAAGTCTTTTTACTGGAAGCTTCCTCAAACGTCCTGCTGCATTTCACAACCATCGCGGACATTTCTACCAACTGATGCTGCTTACCTTTATGTTTCTGCAGAGCCTTCTGAGTGGACTGAAGCACAGATTCGTGGAACTGCTGGGCAAATTCCTCCGGGGTGAAGCTGTCCCAGGGTTTGGTGCGTCCATTGATGCTGTGGGGGCCCTCTTTAGCCTGCAGGGGGTGTGGGGGCCGCAAGCTGTTCAGTAGGCTGGAGCTCCTCTTAGAGGCCGGCCCCTCACTAGGCCCCCGGGCCTTGTCTGGGTAGACAGCTGGAGAAGGAGGTTCCTTTGGTCTTAATGTCTCCCCGAGGGGTTTGAGGTGACCATTGGGGGACGCTGGGCAATGGGAGGAGGGGCTAGAGGGTCTGACACCGTGATGGCCTTCTGAGTCGGAGGGAGGCTGGACAAACGCAGAATCTGCAAGTATTTCAACATATGGGAGTCATGATGAGGTCAAGCTCAACGGCAAGGATGTAAAAGCCAGACACATGAAACCAATTCATTATTATCACACACACACACACACAAAATGAGAAAGTGTGCATGTGTGTGTTCATTAGAATGTGTCTCACCAGAACTCTGTGCTGGAGGACTCTTACACAGCGGATGAGGGGCATGCCTGACGGTATCCAAGGTTACGCTCTTCTCTTTAATGGCCTGAAGCAGCTCAACCACCTTTTCATTATCTAGGAGACAGAACGAGTTAGTTCAATCTGCGTGTAAGAGAAAATGCGTGTGGGTGTAAATGATCCTGAGCGTGGCCTGACAGTGAGGTCGGCGGTGCGCTGCCAGCTGTAGGCAGCAAACAGTAAATCAGGAGGATTTGTCTCAGATCCCTGTAAGCCCGCTGCTGCCACTCCTCGTTCCGTGTCGCTATGCGAGCGCGTTCAAGTGACTACAAACAGAACCGTGACACAAATCCACCTTTCTAACTGGGGCAACGTACGGCATTAGATCACACACACACACGTCGCTTAAAATACTACTTCATATAATGCGGCGGTTTGAGGATGACACAATCGTTTATGGCCCTTTATGATTTCCTTTAAGGCTGCAGTCAACACATTGAAGCGAAAGCAGGCAGAGCTCAGCTGAAGTGAAGAGTCAGCAAGCTGAGAATGACTACAACTAAAGTGAACATGCAATCAGTCTTCCTGTGAACTGTCAAAGAGGAGAGACGTGACATGCATAGGGATGCTGGTATTGGCATGTAGAGGGATCTGGGTCAACTCTGTGACGTAGTGGTTTCTAACTAGCTTGCTGAGGGCAAATAAAGCATTTTATTTAGTTTTATTGTGATATTGTACCATTGGGGTTAGCTTTATTACAAGAACAATAAGGGAGTTTATTTTACTATATATATATATATAATACGCAAAGAATAGATAAGAGGGATTGTTACACACGGTTAAGTCGATCAAACAAAACAATTGATAAGCAATACTATCAATTAATCCTCTTACCTCTCCTCTGATGTATTGTGACGTGGGACAGTTTGAACGTGTTGAGGAAGCGCTTCTTATCCTCCAGCTCTGGTGCTCGGTTCATTTCCTCTGGGGTGAAGCGCGTGCTGAGTTGGGGAGGAGGAGGTGGGGTGCGTTTAGAGTGCGAGAAAGGTGGAGAGGGGCTGCGCTCCCTGAGCCGCCGCCTCCTTTTCCTTCTCTTCTGCTGCACCAGCTCGTCTCGCCGGCCCACCGTGGTCAGGCCGAACGCTCCCAGGAAGTCCACTTTCTGTGCGAGAGACGCAAAAGGAAATCTCACGTCTGGTGACGAGCGCTTGCAGAGAGCAAAGAAAGCGTACATGTTCGCAGGTGTTTTACCTCTGTGGAGTCATCCAGTTTGAGTGGGGGCTGCTCTGCTACTCTCCTGAGGTGGGCTCTTACCTCCTCCTCGTCACTCTCATCATACGAGTCATCCAGCTCGTAGTAGTAACCTGCACAGCAAGCAAAGAGGTCACCACTGACGCATTGCCAGGTTAGACTGTCTAATAAAGTTGTGTGTGGAATAAACTGAGATGAATTTCTGGATTTCTTTTTTAAAGCATGCAAGCGGCATATGATCAGGCACAGCGCTACAGCGTGCTCAGGCTGTGTACCTTTCTCCCTGGCCTCCCTCCTCCTCTTCTCCTCCAGGTCCAGCTTGCTGACAGGCCTTCGGTGCAGCTGAAGGAATTCGTCAAAAATCAGCATCGTGTCTTGACCCATCCCCACTGTGGCTGCCTGTCCCGTCCCAGGCCCAGGGACCATTCCTAGCCCCTGTCCATGTCTGCTATGCCCCGGGTGTCCCTGGAGGTTCTTGAGTCCAGCATTGCTTTTCATGGCTCCCTCCAGTTCATACTGGCTGGACAGGGACAGTGTTGCCCTCTGCTGGCTGAAGAAGGACTGGGTGGACTTTTCCAGATCAGCGAGGAATGTGCTGGGTTCCGGCAGGCCCGGGGGACCTCTCACCGGGGGATACTTCTCCATTGGTCCCCCTTCTCTCCTTCGAGGTCCGTCGTCATATTTGGAGGGCCCCGGGGGCAGGCGACTGAGCTCGTAGTGTCCCATCCCCAAGGGCTCGTGGTTACGTCTGGACTCTGAAGGGGTTTCTATAAGAGACGCGGGGTTCCAGAGGGTGGTGGGAGGGTGGTGTTCACGCAGTGGCTGAAGAGGTTTGGGTGAGATGAGGGGCGGGGGGGCACCTAAGTGGGGGTGGAGGTCCCGGCTTCCTGGTTCGTGGTGATTTGGTACGGATCTGTAGAGATAAAATCGGACAGGGGTCATATTACAAATAGCGTAAAGGCTGCGGTCTCCTCTGAAATACATCAACAGTTACTTCCAATTACACATGCAATACGGAGATACGCCAGAGGCCTATATGCCTATTTCCCTTCATCTCTGTCAGTATGTCAGTGAGGTGGTGTGTGGGCAAAGCAGCGTTATCAAGCCCAGACAGAGTCGCCCAGAGCAGAGTGAGGATGTGGCCAAGACACTCAATGTCCTCCAGATATACAGGCCTGCTTTTGATCGGTTGGCTCCTTGCAGTGTGGCATGAATACACACTCAGGGGGGAGAGAATAAGTGCAGAGAGCAGTAGGAAAAGGCTTCTAACAGTCAAGACAGGCAGAGGAGAAAATGATTGATAGGGACGATGGATTGCCCGAAAACAAATCATCGTCAATGACATGAAGAAGAGAAGAAGTATGTATGTATTTCTGTGTAACGGGGTTGAAATCTGATAGTATTGGAAAATAAATGCCCACAATGAGGAAGAAAGAAAGGCAGATGGCTGATGGACACACTCTCGGGCGTTTACCCAAATCAACCCTGGCAGGATCGCACACTGCATGACCAGTCAAATTAGCTCTGCCTCCCTGTTTGTGTTTGCCTTTCTGTGTGTATGAGTGAGCAAATTTGTGTTATCTGCAATCTGCAGGCTGTGATTCTGCAGTTATACCATTGGGTTACTGATAGCAGACGTGTGCAGCTCTCCTTTTCTACCAGTTTAGAATTAACCACCTCCTCATTTCGGAATTGCACGCAACACATAGGTTAGGCAAGATAGGCACAGTAACAAAGCAGGGCGAGCTTACGCTGAACAGCGTGGAGAGGATCAGCCGAGAATAAGCCTTTGTGTATCTCAGCCATCCCACTCGCAGCAAAACCATGGAGCCCCTCCCCACTACACATGAGAGGGTCAGGTACTTGTCGTCATCATCCTGACCCTACTTTACACCCTGACACGGCTGCCTGTTTGCCTGCATGTCAGGTCCGGCTGCCTGTTTGCCTGCATGTCAGGTCCGGAGGTAAGAATGGACAGCAGCAGCGTCGACGTCCAAGCATGCTTTAAAAACAAACCTCTAAAGCCGGCCAGCTTCCCAGGCTGCAGAACTCGGGACAAAAACGTACATGTGGGTTTGAAATCTCTGCCCGCGTCGGCTGGACTCCAATTACTTTAGTCTATCGAGCGTCGTCTCACCTGTGTGGGTCTGTCCTGTGATCTGGCGCGTCGCCTGGCCGGCCCAGGTCCAGGTGCTGCTCCAGAACCTGCTGGCGGAATTCAGACACCTGGTACTGACGATCCTCTTTTTCCTGCCGCAGCTTACGTTGGCGCGCCAACCACCTCTCCTCTTCATTGGTCCTCTGAGCGATCATCGAGGCCGAGAGCCCCGCCACGACTGCGCTGGATCCCATGTAGAGGCTGTGGCCCGGTATCAGACCAGGGATGGGATGATGCGATTGCACCATTGAAGAGTGGAGTCCTGGCGGCACTGATTAGAAGTTAACGATGCAGATCTTTGGTTTCCTCTGTGGAAGTGCAAATATCTAGGGGTAAACCAAATAGTTTTTTGCATACAAATTCATGAAAACATGGACAAAAGCACAAAGTTGTACGTTTCGTCTGAACAGCCGTCACACACCCCAAAATATTCAACCTCATCAATCATTGAAAAAGTAGGTACCTCGGGGTCTTTAGCCAAATAGTTTCAGGAATTACAACCACAATTAATTGATAATCATCTATTGTTGCGGATTAAAAACAAGAGTTCATCATTGTTTGAGCTCTAACTGATGTGCTTACAGATTTTAGCTTAAGGAAGCACGGACACATACCTGCCCGATTAGGGGGGAGTCTCTCAGGCTTGGTTCTGTCCTCCTGCCCCCTCATGGAATGCAGCTCAGCCAAATAGTGGCTCTCCATGGCCTTGGATGCCTGCAGCTCCTTTTCCCTCAGCGCCCTCTCCTTCTGCCTCTCCAGCTCCTTCTCCCTTTCTCTCTCCCTCTCCCGTTCTCTCTCTCGCTCCCTCTCCCGCTCCCTCTCTAGCTCCTTCTCCCGTTCTCTCTCCCTCTCTCGTTCCCTCTCCCGTTCTTTCTCCCGCTCAGCCTCCCGCTCCCTCTCCTTGTCGCGCTCACGTTCTCGTTCCCGCTCCCTCTCTCTCTGTCGCAGCTCATCCTCTAGCTGGAGCCTAAAAAAAGCAAAGGTGGACAGGGAGGTGGAATTAGAAATAATTCCCGGCACACTGCTGAGGTCTGCTGTGTGCACGCACTTGAGAATGTCCGTGCGTGTGGACTAAGGGGACTTTACCTCTCAGACTGCAGTGCTGACAGGGATTGGTGCGTGAAGTCCCCGGGGTAGCGGACCCCTTGTAGGTGCATGTGAACGGCAGAGGGGTGGATGGGAGGTAAAGCGCCCCCTCCTGGCAGCTGATAGAAAGGTGACCTCAAGGCAGAGAGGCAGAAAGGGTCGTCCATCCTGGGAGAGAGAGAGAGAGAGAGAGAGGATTCGGTCACTCTGTGTTACAGCGCAGCATTGACTTTCATTAACCCATGCGCTTCCATCTCCAGGAGAAGCAACATCACCGACTGGGCGTATCTGTCATTTGACCTCAATCACCACGCAGCAGCAAGCGAGTGTTGGTGCACAACTTGTGTGTGTGTGTGTGTGTGTGTGTGTGTGACATCCACTGCACATCCGCTCATTAAATCCATTACAGCGCTGTGTGTGATGGGTGCTGCAGTCCTCTGATCTTGCTGGGTTGACAGACCAAGGGGAAGCTGCCTGTGTCGTAGCCCAAAGCAAAAAGGGTCCTTCTCAGCGCGCAGTCTACATGATCAAACGCAGCATACATTTAAAATGTATGTATTTTTCAACAAACATCGCACATAGATTTGCTGCTGCTTTCTTTCTCTGTAAGATCAACGATACAGAACAAGAAAAAAAACTCATTTAAAAAGTTCCTCGTGAGAGAATGGACCATTCTCAGTAGTAAACAGGATCTTCGCTCAGATGTATGAACAGCTCTGGGATTATTTTATGGTAATTTCTCACAAAGCACACATGAACAAGCTGCAGATATATACAGACGCAAGTGGCCAAACTGGCCATGGCTCTTATAGATGTTCATACTTTATTCACATCCATAACAGAGTAAAGGAAATGGGTTCTTCTATTAACTAGCTTGGTTAAAAAAAAACTAGAGATAAAATAGATTCCTCTCCTCCTTTGAAAAAAGCAAATGCTGTTTTATTGATCCCCCAAATAATATTAGGTATCCATGAACAAACTGTCAAATGTGGTACGTCTCTCTATTTAATGAGCACTCTAATTTAGCAAGCAATAAAGCATCATTACAGCAGATATGACGGTTAGAAATTACATCAATGCAGCATTTGGCAATAAACAGCGATCAATATGTATTTTTAATCAATCTCTTAAAAGCATTTTGACACAGCTGACCAGGATGTTTTTTTCAAAGAGGCTTCTTAGCAGCAGAAGCCTTGTCAGATGAGTCAATATATACGGCTGTAATGTATCTGATGTGACAAACCTTCTGTGTTGGAGAATAGGTAACCCATTGCTCAGGGCGAGAATGGAATATTTCATACAATAATCTGCGATTTTGGTTTTAACGAACTTCCTTTCTGTCCTTGATGATGCTGGGTTTGGTTATTATCAGTATTCCGTTGCATTGCTTTTGGTTTACTTTGAACCAGAACGTTTTCCCTTTCTCTCTCTTACACCCTCCCCAAGTAAATACACACAAAACATCAAGACCATCAATATTTTACCTCTGCGGACATGCAAGGTCAGCTCTCGCTAATGTGTTTACTGCAGAGTCTTAACATTAGAAATACTAGTTCACTCACTGGTTTGCACGGTTTGCTCTCAGAGGAAATGGGTGCGAAGTCAACAAAAACAAATTAGCGGAAAGGCAAACCTGTATGGCGTGAAGGAAGTGTGAGGCAAGTAGCTGGGGTGGTAGTATGCAGCTGCGGCAGCCGCAGTGGCGGGGTCCAGGCCAAAGGGCAAGGAGGGCATGCGCAGGGCATCCTCGGTCGTGGCGTAGGGCCGGAAACCACGGAGGTACTCTTCAGGTACATGACCGGGGGGCAACTGTCTGGGCAGACTGAAGCCAAGAGGGGCGAATGAAAGAAAAAGAAAAATAACATGGTTAGTTGGGATTTGTTTTTCATCGAGACAATTGTTGGGTCATACGGCCATGAAGTCTCCATCATACACTTGGAGGAGCGCGTGTACAATCTGCCTTTTAAAGTCCGGCGAAACGGGCGGAGCAGTGAGAGACTCACCTGAGAGGCTGGAACCGTGAATCCTGCATGACAGCGCCGGGGGTGAGACCAAAGGCATAGGGGTTTCCCAGGAGGTGGGCAGGGACTGAGGGGCCACCCTTTTCCTGTGGGAGGTTCCCCTCCCCACCCAGACGTTCCCTGCTGGCCCCACGAGGCCCCGAGTCAGCCTGTAGAGAGAGAGAGAGAGAGAGTGAGTTTACTCATTGTTCGTGAAGACCTGTGACCGTCACGGCCGTCAATGCTCATGGAGCTCAGGAGAGGAAAAGGGCAGCAACCTCCCCCACTCTTCTTCTTAACCTTTCTCACAGCAGCACCTCCCAGTGAAAAACACTCATATCAACGTTTCATTTGAGGCAGGAATAGAGGGGTGAAAAATATCCTCATCCCCAACCTTTTCTCTACTTGTATACGAGGGATGTCGTCTGTATGATTGATGAGGTAATGGTAGATGTACAACAGCAATACTTCTAAAGAAATGATGACCTTGATCTTGGCGAAGTGTGTGTGTGTGTGTGTGTGTGTGTGTGTGTGTGTGTGTGGGGGGGGGGGGGGGGTGGATATAACTTAAACACTAACATCTAAAAGCCAGACAACAGAGTCAGAAAAGCAACATCCGTCTACCTCGGTTTCTCTTTTTTCCCTCATTTCTTTGGCAGCAAGCCTGGTCTCACTTATCCAATACCACATCACACACACACACACACACATACGTACACCGTTTCAGAGCTACAGAGACATCCTGCTGTGGGAGTGCATTTTCTGAAGTTTTGGTTTCCCTTTGTCTTCAAATTCAAATTGCAGGGGAAAAAAAGAAACGTACAACCCTTGTAAGTTGAAAAGAAATCAACTGTTTATGTGGGAATACACAGCCGAGGAGGATTTCTCCAGGTGTGATGGAACAGGCATCGCAGCTCTGACAAAACGGGAATTCAAGTTGCAGTTTGCCACGGATCAACCAGAACAGAAAAGGAAGAAAAGAGCTCGAGATGACGGCGTAAAGAAGAGGAGCGTAGGAGATGAATTAACCTCTGGGCTCGCTGGGATTAGAGAGAGACCCCGCAGCAGCACAGCGGCACCGCTTCCACCAAAACAAATCCAATTTAGGGAGCCATTACCTCCCTGACCTGCTCTGCAGCCACTGACCCAGGCTGACACTGATGCGCTAACATCCAATCTCAAACGCCTCTGATGTTTAGACTCCACACACCCCCACTGTGTTTCTTAGACGCCCCCACGTTGCGGTAGTTTTTTCCGTGTGTTTTTTCGCGCTTCACTTAACAGAAAGGCTCTCCGCTGCCTCAGACTTGTTGTCTCCGCGAGACCCCCCCACACCACTTCCATCCTTTGGAAGCTTTACGAGCTCCGGGAGATGGTGGACCTTCCCTCCCAATCAGCAGCCAACTGGAAAAGAGGTTCATTTATGTCAAACAAAGTCAACATCAGATGGCGGCTTTGGAGCTCAACACGCCGGGCTCTCTGTATCAGCCGACGTGCCCAACACTACCGATCGCTGGCTCTTTGGAAGTCTTCGTTAAAAAGATTGACAAATACTTCAATTTGTTTCATCTTGACCCACATGCAACTTGGATGTTGTATGTAAATGTCCCGTGTGTATTTCTCCAGTCGATCCTGAGCAGTGATGCTGTCAACATGTCACATAAGTCTGCAAGCTGTTGCATCGTAAAGGGACCAAATTTAAGAAAAGAATGAATGTTATAGTTAAACCAAAATACAATCAAACAATTCTTTTGATGGTCCTCATGAACACGAAGCCTACTTTTCTAATAGAATCATGCATGGTCCATTTATAACCTCACCCCTGTGTGGTATTTATCTGGAGACTACACGTTTTTATGAATAAAATATGGGTGAACCAACTAATCAACTGTTCCCGTTCAAGAAATTTCACGGATCATAAACGCATTTAACAATTGGGCCAATAAAACATCAAAGTATGATGGTTATGACCATTTTTGGCGACTGGAAAATACCAGTCACTGAAAGACAGAAACCCTCCTTAAATGTGATATGAATCATATATCATATGATCAACAAAAGAGGGAATGTGAGGTGCGGGTGAAATAGCTCAGCACCTTGAAAAGGCACGTTTCCATCACAAAGACAGCACTTCTAACCCCATTATGGAGGAACCAGAGTCACTCAGGCACCTACACATCCAACCAGCCATTTTGACCTTTTACCATCTGCCAAAAAACAGCCCTCTATATAAAACTCACTATTCACCAACACCATTCCATATACAAAGTAAAGAGCACAAATACAAGCACTCAGACCCAAAGACACATCCATTAAGAGCCATCTTCCTCTGTGTGAGCGAGGCCCCTGTAACCCCCCCACTGAGGGTGGGAGACCCTGCGCATTGTGGAGCGCTCGTTTACGCCTCTCAGATGGAGCCATGAATCCAAATTGCCAATTAAAAAGCAATTACAGGCAGCAGCGGGAGCAGACTCCTACTGTCATTAAAGCAAAATGCCAACGCACCAAGCCCTCCCTCGTTGGCTGGCCTGCCTATCACCCCCCCCCCCCCCCCTCAAAAAAAAAAAAAGTATCTCTCGCTTGAGAGACACCCATCGTCCCCTCCCACACACCAGAAAGCAGGACACGCCGACATGTGAACACAGCGGCAAGCGAGCTTTACTTGGACGTATTTTAGCCTGCATTGGGGTAAATACGCAGGGCGGGATCCCGGTCAAAGGGAAAAGTGCCAAAAAAACTGGACCATAAAAATAGAAAAAGGGAGAAAAGGATAAAGGGGCAAAGCGGCGTGGCTTAACATTAAAACTTTTTCCTCGAGGGATCCTTTCTGATCAAAAGTTAAAAAAGGAAGGAAAACGCCGAAAAGTTACATTTTTGTTTAAGGGACATGTGGGTTTCGTGGATGTACCAACGGGGCATAGACGACCCCGAGGCTCTTATATGTGCTCACTGAAGCGGGGGGAGATGCTATTACGCCAGCTTTGGTGACGCAGCCGCGCTACTGCCCCCCCCCCCCCCTCCGACCTCTGCCCCCCTCATCTCAACCTCTTGTCCACATCGCCTCCCTTAACCTCCTCATTCTTTGGCTGGCCCCGCGCTGCTGAAGGCCCTGCGAACCTTTTCAATTTGAGCTCGACCGCGTCGACCCCCGTGCACCAGCATACACTAACATGCACGCAAGGTGCTTCTGCCTTTCTATTTTTTCCCCCTTCCCTTCTACCTAGAGCTGAAGGAATGGCAAAAAGGATGACATCATTAGGACAGCCTCCCTGGCTCTCAAGCCCCCCCCCCCCACTGTTCTCTGGTTGACCCTTGAACTGCGGGAGGGTCGTTTTCGTGAAAGGATTAGGGGGGAGTTGTCTGAAGACTCCCGCACATAGCCGGCCGACCTCCTCACTCACCCTACGCGCTACCCTTCTTTCCGTCTCAGGGGAACCGTCAAAGTGTCTCGGAGAGTTTCCTCATGTGCTGTTTGTAACTGTGCGCTTGGCCTCGAAAATTAGCCCTGAGCTGAGATAAGAAGGCTTAAAGCGAGGCCGTAATCCATAATCCACTCCTTATCAAAGCAAGCAGCTCTCCCTATTTCTCGCCCTCCCCCCACTAACAGAGAGCCGGTGTCAGGGCGACGAGGCAGAGGATGCACTTGACTGCTGGGGTGAAGAAGACGGGGCTGCTAGATGGTGGAGGGGGGTCTCATGGGGGGCTGGGCCAAGGGCAAGAGGGCTAAGTGGGCGGGGGGCCGGAGGGGCACAGATGTTAGCTGCCGTTGAGGCTGACACGTCGACGTCCCAGTGGCAGCTGGCATTGTTAAACGCATGGAGCCATGCAGGGGGGAGGTGACAGGGGGGGGGGGGGGGGGCTGGGTTTGGTGAGAGAAGCAGTCGTGCACAGACCTGCCAGCTATGTCACATGTACATATGTTAAATACTTTCTGCCACGCTATGGGTCGCAGGCATCTAGATAATCTATTTCTCCCTCAAGAGCCTCATTGTGTGCATGCTCGCCCTGGAAAGGCAACATTTTTGAAGCGAAAATACACCGCAGCGCTCCGAGGACCCCTGAAAGAGCAACTGAAAGAAACACCAGGGGAGAGAGAGAAAAGAAAAACATCCGGCTCGCGGTCGGCCTGACGGGTGTTTGGATGGGGATTTACCTGGCGTCCCTCGCTCCTCCAGAGGCCGTTGCTCGTCTTCGTCGGAGCAATGGTGACTACAGGTGGGGTGTTTGGCACGCTGTGGCCAGCCGGGGGAACCAGGACAGGGCCTGGGCCGAGGGGACCCCTCTTGGGTGTGCTGACTGGAGAGCTGTGGTTGGTGGCCGGGGAGGACACCGGAGAGGACTCACTGCTGATGGAGGACGCAGCTGGAGAAAGACAGAGGCGGATGACATGAGTGCAGTGAAAGAATGGACATAAGACGAGCCGATCGCTCCGTTCGTATGAAGGCCAATGCAACAACCGTATGACCCACTAGCAGCTCCTGCAGTGTGGAATAAAAAAGGGGTCGCAGCAACTACCACAACAACGAATAACGTGTAGACACTCACAGGGAGAGAGCCAGATGGACGGCCCAAGGCCCCCATTACGAAGTGACAGTGATCAGGATGAGCAGCCCTGTGAGGGTCACACAGCCCTGACATGCAGGACACACAATAACACCATAAGAACCCCCCGCATGGGATTGAGCCGCAATACTGAATTTATATACAGTCAATGACGCCAACAGCCACACACAAAACTCCTCCCTCCCTCCCTCCCTCCCTCCCTCACCTCACCCACACAGACACACACAGCAGGTGGTGAAATGCTAGCCCAATGAGCTTCTCCGTTGCGTTGTCTCCGTGCCACATTAACAAAGCCCTCCAGGGAAACCCTGTGGCGCAGGGTCACGCTCTGGTCACATGCCTCGCTTTCCGCACATCTTGCTTTCTCTCCCTCTACAGTTCCAAAGCTCTAGTATCATATGCTCACATTCACATATGTTTGGGGATTTCATCTTTCCAACCTTAAATCTTCACCCCCCCGGAGAGCCTTTGCGTCTGTTCTCCTCAACGGTGTCCACTGTCCCTTCAGTCCTTTTTATTTTATTTTTGTATTTTCCTTAGTATATTGTCTCTATGTTTCGCCTTCTTCCTACTGTAGTGAGTCGATGAGTGAGCGCAGCATTACACAGTCAAAGTGGGTCACAACCCTCTCAATGGGACACACGCTTTGGCGCAGCAGCAAGGACAGCAGGAGATGTGCTCTTGTGCGTGTGCAGTTGCAGGTAGTGTGCTTTTGTGCACACACACATGCTCACATGCAACCACAGCAGCTGAAACCTCTGACCAGTTTCAAGTCTACTTCCTCTCCAATTATCAGAAGAAAAAAAAGGAACGCAGATTTGTTACCCAAACGCCGTTTCTTGCCGGCTTTGGTTTCCGTGGCAACATAACCTATTACACAACGTCAGCCTGTGGAAGGTGCTGTCAGGATATTGACTGATCTTAAACACCTCATTCTACCTAATACCACTAAATAATGGAAAGAATCAATAATGTCCCAGGGGAGGGGAGAATTTGAAAATGTTAAATTATAAGAGTTGGGGCATGAAAAAAAAAAGAAAATGGCAAGTGAGAGTGCAAAAGAGGTGCAAGGTGGGGCGAGCTGGAGATAAGGGGTGCAGCTGGGTGAGTGGGTGGCGGGCACAGGATGGGGATATTGAGGGGGGTGGGGGCATATCTTGTCTGCACAATGGCAATTAGTGGCCTAATCCTCCCCCCTCACCTCAGAGAGCCATTACTCTCCCATGCAAGGCCAGGCCAATCAATAGCAGCCCACTCAGCCTGGGGAATGGAGCTACACTTAATACAGCTCTAGTGTCACAGCCTATTCTCACACACACACACACACACACACACACACACACACACACACACACACACACACACACACACACACACACACACACACACACACACAGGCAGCATGCATACACAAGGATGGGGAAAAATAAGACTGGAGGGAGAGAAGACGCAGGGGAGAGGACTGCTAAGCAACAGACCCCTACTCCATCCATTTCTCTTGCCCCCCCCTCCCGCCCCTCGCTTCCCATCTCCTCCTCATTCTCCACGTGGAGGCAAAGCAGGCTGGAAGAGGCAGTGCAGACTAAATAATTAAGAGCAGGAAAAGAAGCAGGTGAGCGGAAGAAGGAAATGAAGGAGACAAGGGATGGCTCATTCCAGCTTTGTCTCCTTGCAGCCTACCTAATCAGAGTCTACATCTAAGCGTCCTTCTTAGTCAGGTATCCACACACACACACACACACGACATACAAACAGCTATTATTCCTCTATCATCCCCTCCTCCTCTCTAACAACACCGCACACAACCACCACCCGCCGCTTACCACCTCCTCATACACGATCATTTCTTTCTCTTCCGTTCTTCAAACACAGAGCTTTCCAGCCAGACCCAGATCTGTCAGACTCAACACCCGATTTTCATAAACACATTTACGATACCTACTGCCAGTGAGTACGCATGGGAGATGTTTGAGAGTGGTTGCATGTTTGCATCTATGAATGTTTCCCTTTATACTCCTCTTAAAACCATATTATGTCGGAGTATATAGTCTCGGAGTCGAAGCCTAAATCTCTGATTTTCTCTCGACAGTTTTCAAAAGCCCTTTGTCTTTATTCAGCAACCGCCACTAACTCACTAGAAGGTGCCACCTTAGAGGAGGAAAATATTAGATTAGTTAATTGGTGCAAAGCTGGTGTCATTTCTGCCATATGCGGCTTCCTTTCAATCGATAACAGAGAGAAAATAGCCATAGGTTTTGGTCCTTGAGGGTGTTAAGAGGAGGCAGAGGATGAGGAAGAGGAGTGAAGCAAAGCATTTGGCCCCAGAGTCCAAAATAGGCTCATCAGCTCCCAACCTGCACTTCATTAGCTGTACTGATTGGCCCCTTTCTTGTAGTGTGTGTGTGTGTGTGTGTGTGTGTGTGTGTGTGTGTGGTAGGGGGAAGGAGCGACAGAAGAGGTGGAGAAAGAAGAAAGGAGCAAGAAAAAGAAAGAAGGAAAGCAATCGCTGTCTCAGTCCCATGCTGTGTGTGATTAATGTGAAGCTCCTTTCTCCATCGCCTCCTCCATTACCAGTCCCACTCTCCCAGACTGCCTCCACACTTGACCGCTCAAGCTGAGCCACACATGTGCACGCACACTCTCTCACACACACACACACACACACACACACAGAACCTACAGCAACAACAAACAAACCGAGCAGCGGTCAGAGGCTGTGGCCGAGTGTCCCTGCATGGACGGCACCTTCTAGTCCGGCCGCTGTCCTTTCCGCGGGGAGCAGAGAGTCCCACTGGATCCCTGAGCCTTGGTAGGAAGACGACACGCCGCACAAAATGTTTTAGTGTCGCCAAACAGCCCCCACAGATCTTCTGCCGCCGCCGCCACGGAAACGGCCAAGCACAGCCCGCTCCAGCAGGGCCGGGCAGAAGGTGCTCTCCTTCACCCCGCCAGCATCCACCCCGCTCTCCCTCTCCACCCATCCCCTCCTCCATCCGCCTGCCTCCCAGCATGCATTACAACAACATCAGCACTTAATTAAACAGTCCATTTCACACCTGGTGTGCATAGCAGTGCGCAGCCAACCCTGCATCCATATGCCACCCCACCAGCAGCACAAGCCTCAACACGTGCACTCTAACACACACACACACACACACACACACACAAACCCACACTTACAGACACACTTAACCACTGATGCACACAAACACCACACACACCTGCTACTACAGTCTTGGCCATGCACTGACAACACCACACAAAGCCTGTAATCTGCATCAGGGAGTGGGGGAGGGGAGAAGCACACTGTGTGTGTTGCTGTGCCAGCGATGAAAAGAAAGACGGTACAAGATGGCGGATGGGAAAAAAAAGAAGGGGGGGGAGTGATCCTGTGCCTTGCTGACTGTACAAACTGTTCGTTATGCTTTACTACTGAACAGGGTCATGTGAGGTGTAAGGTTGCTATGCATGAAAAGGAGAAAGGGGAGAAAAAAACAACAACAAATGAGCTTGTTTGTGAGTGTTTCAGGGACAGTCACAGCCTGAGGGGCTATGCCTTCAAGAAACACACACACACACACACACACACACACACACGCCCCCAGGCCGGCTCCAGATGGAGAGGTCAGAGAAACACTGCCCCGATGTCCCAGCATGCTCTGGGCTTCCAGAAAAAAGGGGAAGCCTCCGGCCACACACATGCATGTGCACAAGCTGACAAACGCCGCTAGTGTTAACAAATCCACTAATTACTTCCAATTCCTCTCTTCTTCCCAGCCAATACAGTCCATCCATCTAGTGCGCCTCTCTGCAGGCAGGGAACTACAGTCGGCATGAACGCAGTCATGACATTCTGCTGGTGTGTATGTGCCGCGAGTGTGCACGAAGAAACAACTGAGTGGATTAAACCCCAGGTCTGCCTAATTAATCAGACATCAGCAGGCCCACCTTTTTGAGGCAGTGTGCTATCTGTGTGTGTTTGTGGGGCGAGAGTGTGTCCTTTACGCCGCTCTGATACTCATTAGCCATCAGCTCCCCTCTTCAGAACAGCACTCGGTACACAGATCTACCCATTATTATAGCCACAGCCAGTGACAATGTATGGATTTGTGTGTGTGTGTGTATAAATATAGCAGCTTTGCTCAGGGTCTTAAACCAGTTTGGGAGCCGGTGGCAGCAGACCTTACTAATTCCACTAGGCCTTAGGACACTGAGTCACGGCACCTCATATTTGCTGCACTATTCACCTCAAAGCATGAATCAGAGGTTGAGAGAAAGAGAGGTTTAGTCAAAGCCGGTAATGAGACAACAGCAAGCTAAAGCATGCTAAGAAATCACAAGGCTACTGCAAAGACAACTGTTTGCATGCGTGGGGGCGTTTGGGTGTGTGTGTGTGTGTGTTGCCTATAAATACAGGCTCTGTAGACAGAGAGGTGACTGGGGCTACATGCTCACCCTGGAGCCGGTATTCCTAACACGGGCCGAGTTGCCCCCTGACGGCTGAGTCACCCACACAGCGCTGCCTGCCCGGGCAGCGCAGTCAGCTGACTTCAAAAATAATAAAAAAAGGGACTTTTTTGTGCTTCTAATAAAAAGTTGCCAGAGCTTAATCAGACAGGATCTGTTGCCTGTTTGTATGACAAAGACACAGACGGGAGTTCTCTGCCGTGGTAGAATGGAAATTACCAATACACACATTTATTTTCACCTCGTACCACCAAAAAAAAAAAAAAAAATCATAAAGCAGTGGTGAAAAAGAAAAGAAAAAGGAAAACATGCCGTGGCGAATGCAATCCTTGCGTTCTGCAGCTGCAACTGACACTCAAAAAAACAAAAAACTGAAGAGCAACAAAGATAAGAAGAAAATCCCATGAAAAGGGTGAATCCAATCTACAATACAATAAAAAGACTGGAGGTGGGAGAGTAAATAAGGCGGAGGGAGTGAAGAGAGATGAAGGGGAGAAGGATCGAGAGGGAGGTGAGCAGAGGTTGGGACCGAGTTCTTTCTCTCCCTCTGCGGGTAATAAATCATTTGCAGGGTTCTGGGTCCCAGGCTGCAGTGGGCTGGGGAGCAGGGTGTCCTGGGACAGCCAGAAAGCAGGGGAGCATCTGATTTAGGAGCCAGAGCAAGGGTGGACAGCTGGGGTAGCTGGGCCTCTCCGGAGCCAAGATATGGAAAGGCACAAACATATGCACGCTCACACACAATTACACACAACTCCCAACTGCAGCTCTGCTTCGTGGAATTGTGCTTTGTAGGGTTTTTTCTATGCGTAAGAGACACGGGGCACATACGTTGGAAAAAGATTTGCATGAGTATTCCCGGGTGGTTTCGCATTCATCAAATGTACTGGGGAAAAAACATGGCTCTATGAACAAGCAGCCTTAGAGGAATAGTCCAGAATGTGTGACACATTAACAACAGCAGTTTAACCACCTGATGCGTTCTTGTATTTATACAATCGACGCCGCTGACTCCACTGAAAGATTGATCGTCAAAAAGGTTTCTTCATCCCCTTCCTGTTAAATGTATTCTTTTTTTTTTTTACTGCTGTAGTCGTGGTCATGTAATGTTACACCATGGATGCAACAACAGGACAAAACGCTGAGGGTTGGGAATTCTATGGCATGTTTCACGTCTGTGTGTGTGTGTCAGCAGATAGTGACGAGGAGAAATTACAGCACCATCACACCACACATTTACAAGCGCACACATGAAGTGGGTCAGCTAGAGTGGCTCCACTTTGTCCCAATATCTCCAGAGACAGCAACTAATTCAATCCTGTGTGGATATCATCCCATTGCTATTAGCAGCTCTCGCACTCAGCTACACAAACTGGCCATGGCGCACAGAGCGCACACACCTACAATATAACCCCGTCCTCCCTCATACGCACGCACAAAGACTAAATACACAACTATGCACATACAACCTACAGGAGGAGCAGAGCACTTAATCCATCAGGTCAGCAATTAAGGGTCATGGGACTGGATGTAAAAAAGACGTTGTCATGGTTTGATAAACACAGTATTTTGAGCCAAAGATTTATTAAGACATATTAATAAATAGAAACACAACTTGAAATTAATAACTTAACACTTACACTTAATACCGTCACCATGTGAACCTGCAGTGTAAAAGCCACAAAAGACAACAAAGATGCAGCGCAAACAGATCGTTAAAAATTGTCTAAATGAATTCTCAAAACAAACATCACAAATGTCAAATCGTCCGCCACGTGTGCCGTTACCTCGAGGTTCCTCGGCCTGTTTTGCCAGTTTACGGAGGGCTGCGGCGAATCCGGAGTGAGCAGACTGGTTAGCGGGGCTTCCATTGGCTACCAGGGAGCCGTTGAGAGGCGACGGGGTGAGGGGGCTGACCGTCGCCGTGGTACGGGTCGCTGTGGAGATCATTCCTAACGATGGTGACTTTGGCTCATGGCTCATGCCTGCAAAGTGACGAAAAGAGGAGGAGAATGGGAAAGTATTTATATTAGACACTGCATTCAAGAAGAACCGACACACACTTGAGTCGCGAGCGATGGGGTCTTCAGAAATACCTCCAGTCACACACACACACACACACACACACACACACACACACACACACACACACACACACACACACACACACACACACACACACACACACACACACACACACACACACTCTATTGGCAGAAATATGCCAATCCGAGTGAGGCACATGGCGGTTTCCCTTAGACACGGACACAGAGGGGCAGAGGGTGGTGCTGGGTGTCTGTTTGTGACAGCTGGGGCCGAGGGGCTTTGGTCGTATGGCTTAGGGTCAGAGATGGGGAGGTTAGGAGGACGGGTCAACCTCTCTGTGCGCAGAGCTCCTATCTGGCCGCGTGTCTGCCAGAGGTCCGTTGTCATGGCGCTCACAGAAAGGGCCTATACTGAGCGTTTTATCTCTCAGTGGCAGGATGGTACAGCACTGGACGGGGTAAACCCATCCGGTGCCCACCCCGCTGAAATGTGACAAATTGCTGCCAGTTGCTAAAAGTAGACAATGAGTTTTGAATGAAACTTGGGATTTCTTAATTCAAACAACGACTTAAAAGTCCCCACCCCCTTACAAAAGATTGTATTGTAAATCTTCCCTCATCAACAATTGTTTGTCGTGTCTGTCTCTTGTGGTGGTCGGGGGTGGGGGGGGGAGTCTCCCCCTGTTCTTCCTGTGTGTGTGTTTGTGTGCGTGTTGAAAGGTGACACCGTGTTGACAGCCCCTTCGGCCGGTGGAATCCCCAGATGCCAGAAAGGCGACTGATAGCCCACTGAGCTCGGTCCAAAAACACACACACACACACACACACACACACACACACACACACACGAAAGGTGGCTTAGACAACTTGTTTGTGTGTAACGTACATTTTAACCAACACATCAAAACTATATGAAGTAAACAAATATTCAATAAAATATCTGGGTTCACACAAGAAACGGTGGGGGCTATAAAAAGATCAGGTTCCCACCGGAGTCACAGCACCCTATATTGTGTGTGTGTGCATGTGTGTGTGTGCATGTGTGTGTGTGTGTGTGCGGCGAGTCAGGCATGAGAGTGAACATTCCCAACAGCTCCCGAGTTGTCCTGCCTGTAACCTCCCAGTTACCCAGTGCACTCAAAGTGAACCCAGCACACAATTAATAATGGGATAAACAATGACTACTGTCTGAACAACACACACTGCGCCTTTGAGAGACAACACACACACACACACACACACACACACCAACTGCCTCGTCTAATAAAGTGACTTTGTCAAGACATTAGCGTATTCCACAGAAAGCCACTGAGGGGAACTTTCAGTAAAAGTGAACATGTTGTAGACGCACACAGTACTTCTGCCTCTATCGAGCACACACAGAAAAAGGACACAAACCCAAGTAACTTGAAAGCAGCAGACAACAGCGACAATAGCTTGACAAATACACACACAGGAGCACATATCCGGAGGTCTGGCAGCAGTTCATGACCACCCCCCCCTCTAACAATATCATTCCCCCTATAAAGAAAAAGGCGGTCCAGACCGCCTTCTCCATAGAGGAGTGGGGACGCTTTGGGACCCCTGTGGTGCGTTTGTCTTGTTGAGACCAGGAGGGCACACACCGCCAGCCACCGCCGGCACACGCACCATCTTCCTGCCGCCCTCCCTCAGGCGCTGCGTCTATCCGCTCTCATCCGCCCGCCCGCTCTGCCTCCGCGCCCGGCTGCTCCCCGAGAGCTTATCTAACAAAGCAACACGCCGCACACGCTGCCCATCTCTTCCCCTCCCCGCTCTCTCTCTCTAAGTGGGAAAACAGAAATTCTTAGCCTAGCAGCTGCTGCGATGTCACATGACCCCCCCCCCCCCTCCTCACCCACACACCGCCCCATCCCTCCCCTCAAGCCCTCCCTTCTCACACTCTCCCTCCTCCTCCTCCTCCCCTCGCAACCTATAATTCCTCAGCCATTTGTAGATAACAGACACAGGCATGCATGCCCTGCCAAGGCGAGCTGGGGGAGGGGGAGAGGAGAAGACGTTGAGCCGGTCACAACATCTGACCCCGTTGCTGGGGAGCGGCATGAACATGCGCATGTATATAGGTGGATGGGGGGCATGGGGGCACGGGGGGGGGGCGCTTTCCTTCTTGGGCCACAAAGAGGAGGAGAGGAGGAAAAAAGACACGTCCTGGCCTGTCTCGAGCCTCACGGCCTAAAAGAACAAAAATGCCCATCGTTAAAGAACTTAAGTGTAAGAAAGATTTGACGTGCAATGAAATTGTAACAATGCAACGCATACAACACACGCTTATGAGTGAGTTTGAGTTTTTTCTTTTTGTGGGTGGAGGAGACCAATGCGTAACAGTGGCCGGGGGTGGAGGAGTAAGGAAACGGGTAAACGCGTGGGTCGTACTTCCCCTCCGTCCGTCCTGCTGTCAGTGCAGGGGTGTGAATGACTCGTTTCTTTAGTCATTTCCTCCTCCGTCACTCGCTGCTTCTTCTCACGACAGCCAGTGAGCAGAGAGAGAGCGCAAAGATGGAGCGGGATTAGAAACTCCAGGAGTCTACACGCGGTGGCTCCTGGAGTTTCCCTCTGAGGTCCTCGTCAAGTGGGCCTTTATCTTCACATCTCCACTCAATTTGCATGTTTACAACAAGTCGGCGTTTCAAGGGGAATCCCCGCGCCACGCTCGCCAGGCGTCCAGCAGATGGCATCGCCTCCCAGTTAATGAGAGGGAGTCCGCTGAAGATGAAACCGCAAATGTCAAACCTTAAAAATGACAGTTTTATGGATTATTACAACGACAAAGACCGCATGCAATTTGAGGATGAAGAACCCTGACGCAACGGTCTAAAGAGAGATGAATAAATTACACCTTTAGGGACTGTGGCAAAAAATGTTTCATCTGACAACCCACCGGTTGAGAGGAGCGTGTTAGACGCCATGCTTCCTGATGCAATTAACCCTCTCAACGCCGCTACGCCCTAAAGGAAAACAAAACAAAGGCCTTTAAGAAGAGGAATGTAGATTACAACAAACCGCACACATCCATGATCCCACACACACACACACACACACCGGGCAGATTGACTGCTAAATGGCATACAGTAAACACCGCTTTAAACACTCCCTCCTACAGTCACACACACCGTTCCGGGCTCCTGCTGTTTGGAATGCAGATTACTCTATCGCACTCTCTCGCTCACACGTTCACGTAGTGAGTAAATCCTCTTGGCTCCTGTGCGGCCCGGCCAGTGGGGAGATAATGCAGTGGCAGCTCTGGCTAGAGGTTAATCTTTAACCAGGATGGGATTAGCCTATCAGCTCGTTAAAACTAGCAGAGACGTGCGACCGGGACCCGGCCGTCCCGGCAGAGTGAGCGCAGCGTGACCCGGAGCTGTGGTGCCGGCACGCTGTGGTCATGCTTTTCCTCACCGGGGGCAGTGGAAGCCCCTTTTCCTAGTGGCCCTGGCGAAGCACACCAACCACGCTGCGAGCTTGTGGCGCTGCTGCTGAAGAACGGAGCCAAAGCGCTCAGCATCTGCCCTCGAAAAAGGAGCAATAAATATGTCAGGCTAATGAAACGGGTTGGCGCAACACGTGTGGTCAGGCAGGCAACTGAAGAGCCCTTTCTAAACGTCTTGCTGTGCTCAGCGTGGAATAGTTTGGTAGCTCCCGTGTAACAGCTCCTGGGTTGTGTTGTGTTTTGTTCCACTCCTACATTCCAGTTCTTACTTCCCTAAACAAATAGCACCCAGGTTGTTTCCTGCTAATCTTCTCCTGTGCTGTGCTATCAGAGCGGTTAATTTGCTAACGCAAAACAAACATTTCACGTTGCAGCGTTTTTCACCAGCGGCCTTCTTTCTTTGCTTTCAATGCAGCAGCGCGGGAAGTTCGGCCCACTTTTCGGTTATCATGAGCAAACAGCTGATAACTGAAACGAACCCCCAGACCTTGAGATGTAGATCTTTCAGTGCTCATCCGGTTAGGAGACAAGTTATAAATACTGCAAGTGTGTGAAACTTGGTGAGCTGCGGGCGACATGCGTTTACTGCGGTTTGCCGAACCCGGCAAACCGCCACATCATCGCGCTGAGCAACACCTTTTACCGCGGAATCTTGTCGTAGATAAGAGGAAAAACCCCCTCAGATCACAAACTCTGATCCCGGCTGCTCGTCAAAGCACGGCGCACGTATTCAAGCAAACGGAGACATGACTCAGTGGGAGAGCATGTTTCAGCCAGAGAACACAGGTCCAAACGCCCACCCGGCTGAAGGTGCCCGCTGTGAGTAGCTCAGCCACGGACGCAGAGTTGACTTGATGATGTCATCGTGGATGCTTGACTGACATGACGGCTGGCTGAATGCGTGCCGACAGGGGGGGATCCAAAAGGACGGGAGGAGGGTACGTGAGAAGTTGGCCGTCAATAAAGTTCTACTCGAGATGTGGAAAGATGAAAACAAGTAGAGAAACAACACGCCAGAATGGACTGAGTCAACAAGAGAGTGATGCGCGGTTAAAAGACGTTACTCATGACCTGTACCCGTAAGAGCTGTTGAGCTTGTGATAAAAGAACAAAAGATGACATTCAAGCTCGGACTGGAGAGCATTAAACAAAACAAAAACAACAAGAGAGCAGGAAGCAAACCGCAGGAGCGCCTGTGAATGTTCATTATTACAGCGGCCGTGCACAGGTCACATACGGCGTCGCACAGAGGAGCACATCAGGATTAACCTGCTGTGGTAGTTCCAGGTCTGTTTGACTTCTGAGATGAGATGGCAGAGCGATCTACCCTCAGGCACCGTAGCACGGACGGGTCGGCGTGCACGCGCGCCATGTCTTTTAATCCGCACCAAAGAGAAATCCTAATGTCAGAGAAATCCAGTTACAGCAGCAGCAGCTACAGAAGAGCAGAATCAAAAGCAACAGTTCCACTGAA